GGACATCTGTAATTTCAGTCAAAAGCTTGGAATGCAGTCAGGGGGTCGTTTCCGACCCTATAAATCATATATATTCGTGATCAGCACAAAAAATCGAGTCGATCTAGACATGTTTGGGAGAAAAAAAATTTTGAAAATTTTTTTTTCAAAATTTGATAAGGGGGTACATCATTAAAATTGTAAAAAAATTTAAAAATTTTGAATTTAATAAGTTTTATATATTCGTAAGCAGATTTGTAAACCTGGAAAAAACTATCACAAAACAGTTTTCAGAATTGTATATCATTCATTTTTAACTGAGTTACAGAATTTGGAAATTTGGATTTTTTCCCAAAAATTTGACCCATTTTTCAAAATTTGATAAGGGGTTACATTGTTAAAATTGTCTAAAAAATTTACCAAATTTTTGATTCCATAAAATGTAATATTTTTGTATGCAGATGTGTAAAACTACAAAAAACTAGCACAGAATAGTTTTCTAAATTGAATTTCAAGCTTTTTTGACTTAGTTGTGATTTTTTTAAACTTTGATTAGTCCAAAAAATAATCATAAAAAATATCAATAAATTTTTAAATATTATTTGACAAGGGTATAAATAACTTGGACCTTTCCAAGTTACCTTTCTTTCATGTATTATTATTATTCATTTTTTTTCTGCTCGTGCATTCCGCATGTGAAAATGTGCGGATGAGCTTGGGGTAATGAAGTTCCTAACGGAGGGGAGGTGGGAGGAGGAGATTCAGTGGGTGGGGGGACTGCAGAATGTGCATACTGAAGTGGGGCATTTTTGGATCGAATCGCGAAATTCCAGAAAAGTTTTTGCGGCTGCGGCAAATTCCGTTACGGCGGCGGCACTGCATCAAATTCCCGGATTCCCGAATGATTCATTCCCAAGCCCAGCGGGTGACTCACGAGGAAGGTGGTGGGTGGGTGCAAGGGGAGGGTGTGCAGTGGTGTCCTAGTGCCAGTCCTTGTGCCCTCCCCCCCATCTCCTTGGTCCTTGCTCCTATCAGCCAGCCAAAGCAGCGAACCAACTAATTCAGTTGACTCGCAGTGCCATTGGACGGGGGGGTTTCTCCAGTTGTCGAGTTTCCAAGCTGCACTCCCCGTCTTTCCCCCTGGCCGCTTTGCCATCGGGGGTTCCCACTAAAGTTGGCCGACAGTTTGCAGTTCCCAGCCGACAATCAAATGGCCAACGACACCCGGCCAATCCCCTCTCTCTCTCTCTCTCTATCTCTCTCCTTGAAAGTCCTGGTAACCGGGGAGAAAGGGACTTTGTATGGGTTGTTTGGCAGCGGCAGCGATTGCGTGTTCCCTTTGCCCAGGGGGTAGGGTGGGTAGTGAGTGGGGGATGGCATCGAGTGTTTGGGTAGATGCTCGGGCATATTGCATATTGCACATTGTGAGCTAGTCCTGCCCGCTCCTGGCCCAAAAGGATGATGAGTCAGACATGCGAACGTGAAGTCCTTCAAAAAAATAAAATAAAATAAAAGGAAAAAGCTGAAAAAAAACGCAGAAAAAAAAGCAGAAAACAGTGTGGAAAAGGCGGAGAAAAAATGCAGTCAGAGGGGGTTTAGGGGTAGCTAGAGGGGGTAGGAAGAGGGGGCTGGTCTGACAAGGACTTGGTTCTGGTGCCAGGTACATGCGACACATAAGCAACCACTGACGACCACAAAAACGATGACGGGCGATGCGTGCCACTGATAACGGCTGACGGCTGGCTACCAAGGATAATGGTGTGAGCAGCGGCAGGTCCTGCAAGAGGGTGGGGATGGGTGGCTACCACAGGATGACAGGGTGTACCAGGTTTTGGTCGCTGGACAAAGTCCAGTCATAAATTGCAGGCAACAAGGAACAAGCATGAATAGCGGCATTAAAGTATCAGCCAAACAAAAGGGGAAGAGGGTCAAGGAGGGAGATGGGAGAGGAGAGCAGCGGGAGAAGGGTATCAAAATAGGGTGGTAAAGCAGGAGCAGGACACTGAGATAGGTTAGGCTATAGGTGGACCCTGAAAGAAAAGCGAAAAACAAATTGCAGCCTGCATACAAAACAAGAGAGAGGGAGAGACCTGAAAGGCTAGGAAAAAGGAGCATAAAGCAGCTTAACTGCTCCCCCCTCCTGGCCGGGATTTGGATCCTTGAAGTGGGAGCAGGCAGGAGCAGCAGGCATTCCCCCTTTTCCTTCCCATTGCTCACTCGCATGTATATGAATTTGATAAGGTTTTTGTTTTGCCACAAAAAAAAAGTTTAGTCTTCCAGTCTTGAAAACCTTGGTCCTTGGTCCTTCCTACTCCGGTCCACTTCTGGGTACCGTTGCCAAGGCAAATTGCTTTGAGTTATTTAAGGGAAAAATATACGCAGACAGAGGATGGTTGTGGAAAATTGTTAAGGCCAGGCACGTCGTCAAGAAAAGCAGAAGCCACCAGCAGGAGCAGATTGAAGAGGAGGAAAGCTGTGAGAGCAGGAGCAGAAGCAGGAGCAGAAATTGTTTTGAAATGATTTGAAAAAGCATTTCAGTTTAAGCCAACAATATCCTGGCCATACACATACACACACACACATGCACATGAATTGATGAATGCTGGCTGGCTGACTGCCCCCCTAAACCTGAATCCAAGTCCTAGTTCCAGTTAAGAGTCCTTGCGTATCTGAATGCAGGACATGGTCTTGCCCTGACAGCCAGCAATTTGAGGATTAGGCCTGAGATCTGGGCAATAATTGAGGGATTTGCCGCCAAGGCAATCGATGAGGAGCCACCATAACCTGGCCACTCATTCAATTTCCATGATAATTGCCAGCTGTTAGGGGTGCTCCTAGTCCTCCTGCTCTTCTTGCTCCTCCCTCTGGCAGCCAAATCAAAATGCTTAGCCACAGCCTTCATTAGTTTTGGCCGCTGCCAGTGGCTACTTTCGTATGCAAATTGCTGAGAGAGCCAGCTGCTTGGCTGCCTCTGTTTCCCTTTCTGTATGTATGTGTTTGTGTGTGTCTCCCCCGCGGTTGTGTAAGCCGAAAAGCCATGGGAAAGCACTGAGAAAACCCCCTTTGGCCAGGCCAGGCGAAAAGAAAACGGTTCAATTAAGCCAATATTTGCGCACACTCGCGCTGCTATAGTTTTGGCAAGAGCCAAGACACAACCCCTAGCTACCCCCTACTAGCACCCACCACCACCCCCCCTTTTTTACACCCCCCGTTTTACACCTCCCCCCACCATCCACCCCCCGCTCTACAGGCCGCTGCTAAGCGATGGCACATTTTTCGTAGCATGCTTTGCGGCTGCTTAGCCCACGGCCACAACAGAAAACCCGCTCAAGTGTTTGTGTATCTGTCTCTCGCCGTGTGCGTGAGCTGTCCTTCTTTTGCCAATGTGTGTGAGAGAGAGAGAGTGTACGTGTGTGTGTGTCTGTCTGTGGTTGGGATTTGTGTCGCTGCTTTTTCCACAGAGAAAGAAAACGAAGCAAACACACACACACGCTGTGGCTGTGCTTAGAGAGCTGCCAAATAATATTTCTTAAATGGTGATTATATATGTATATATATATTGCCGATTTGAATCTATATTGCCACATAAAAAACCAAACTGTTGGCCCTAACTGAAGTCATATTCCAAGTAATGTAAATGGTTATAATTTTATAGATTTTTTCAAATTGAAATTCTCCCTTTTGAACGGCTTACAAGTTAGTTTAGTTTGCTGGAAAGTTGTTTATCTTTTTAAAAAGAATTAGTAATGTTTAATTAACTTGATAATATTCCCAAGTAATTCATATAAAACTTATATAATTCTTATCGTTTTTTTATATAAATTTAATATAGATTTTATATGAATTTGATTTTTGATTAATATTATATAAAAATAGTATACATATATATATATCATACACGTATATATATATAAATAATATATATTGTATTTAATAATATAACTTGAATCCCTTTTTATGAGACTTAAAAGGGCTTAAGGAGTTCTAGAAAACTAAGCCTGATATAGAATCTTAGTAGAAAAGGTATAAAAGACATATATTTTTTTACTAGGATTGCCACAGAAATCACTAGAATTTGTTTGGAAACCCCTTAAAAGTTGTCAAAAATTAAGCTATACAATTTTATAGTCTTAAAAAAGAGATAAGTTGACGCCGAGTTTGGAGCATACAAAATTGTATAGCTTACTTTTAAAAGATTTTTAAAAACTGGTTTTTTGAGAGCCTTAAATAGGATTAAAAAGTTATAGAATGATAGACTAAAGTCAGGTATTTGGAGCTATTAAATATATATAGTTTTATGTACATAGGTGTTTAATGGTGTGTAAAAGTCGGTAAATTAAAGAGTATGGCTAGGTTTAGTCAGAGGAAGTATAAGTCTAATAAGAAGACCCTAGTTCCTTTGTCCTTTGAACAGGTTGTTAGTGTCATAAGATTTTAAACTGTTTTTTAGATTTCTTGGATATATTTAATCTAAGGAATAATATATAATATATCATAATCTTTTAAAAAAAGAAATCCCTAAATTTAGAAACTGATTCTGCATTTTGGAATCTACGGAATTATATGAAAGTAATCATCATACTTTCCATTGTTTTCTATTAGAAATTATCCTTTAAACAGGGGTTTTCAGTGTTATAAGAATTAGAACTGATTCTGGATTAGTTATCCTTAAGAATATTATGGAATATTTGGGAATATAATTTCCATTGTTTACTATTTAGATTTTTTTCTTATAAAAATCCCTAAATTGTATGGATTTAAGCCATTTTTTCTATCAGTGCTGGCGCAATGGTGCCTGTGTCCTGTGCCTTTGCCTGTGTGTCAGTGTCTGTTTCAGTTTTGGTCTCGGCATCGGCATCGGTTTTGGTTTCTGTTTCTGTTTCGGGTCTTTCGGCTTACTCCTTCGTTGTTCTTCGACTTGGAAGGGGGCATTGTATGGCCTGGCAGCAGGGCATGTGGTGTGTGTGTGTATATAGGGTGGTGTGTGTGCGAGTGTGTGTGTGTAAATTTTGGTGACTCACCTGAACCTGAGCGGTGCCAATGGCCAGGACGACCCAGAGGCTCCGCAGCAACAAATTACGACGCAACGCGGCGCACATTGTTCGCACTCCTTGGCTTTCTGCTGCTTTCTTTTTTTTTTCTCGCTTCTCGTTTCTCCCGTCGTCTCCAAGTGGGGTCTCGGAATATCTCTGACTCCGACGGACTCCGATGTTGTTTCTGCTTTTTAAACTGTATTTGATTTTTGGTTGGCTTGTTCGTTTAAACACTTTTGCTGCTGCGACTGCGGCGACCGCAACAAGAAATCGAAAAACACAAAAAAAATTTCATTAGCAAAGCGAACGAATTTTGTGGGGGGAACGAATTTTTTGTTTTCAGATTCGGAGTCGGAGTCGGATTCGGATTTGGTTTCGGAATGCGGATTCTGATTCTGAAGGCTACTGATTTTCTGGGGGGTGTTCGTTATGCGTTGTCTTCGCCTTTCGATTTGCGGTGCCCCTTCCTTTCGCGACGGGTTTTCCCTTTAGCGCTGCTGCCCCAAAGACTATGCAACCGAAAATGTCAACTCGGAAAATGGACTGCGGACTGCGGACCACGGTCTGTGTCTGTGTCTGTAAGTCTGTGTGTGTGTGTGTCGTCGTAGTATTTGATTGTAGAACGTAGTAGCTGAGAGAGTGAAAAGGAGAGAGGGGAGCGGGTGTGGGAGTGGGTGGGTGAACGGAAAAGAGGGCGCTACTCGCAGCCACTCGCTGGGCTTTTCGCGGGCATTAAGCCAGGAAGAAAAAAATGTAAGTAAATCCTAAACTGAGGTAGAATCTGTGGAAAATCCAGTGCACTCGAAGCTGGGAAAACCTGTCAGCTGGAGTTCTCGGTTTCCCCGTGTCACTTGTTTCTGCTGCTAGTGGCAGCTCCTACGCAGGTCCACCCCCCTCCCGCCTCTCTCTCTCTCTCTGTCTTTGTGCGCTCTCTTTGTGCACTCTCTTTGTGCTTTCCTTGGACTTCTGCGCACTTTCGCTCGCTCTCTGGGCCTGCGCGGAGAGGAAGGCGAACACGAAAACGAAGAAGAGAAGCAAGAAGCAGTTAAGGAAGGAAGGAGGGAAAAACCCGAGGCTTTTTCCCCAGCTAAAATTGGCACCACAAATCCACTGGCATTGCTTTAGTTTATGTTTCTTTTTTTGTATAGTTTCACTTTGTTTCTCTCTTTCTTTCTTTTTTTTTGTATCTTTCTCTGTTTTTTTAGTTTTACACTTTGCACTTGGTTACAACAACAACAAAAAAATATAACGCCATAACGTATGCAATCAGTATCAGCTTTTTGTTGCAGTGTCTCTCTTTCTTCCTCTCTCTCTCTCTCTCTTTTTGAGTGTGTGTGTGTGTCTCAGTCGCCTTTAATCGAGGCCCAAAGCTCCCGCTTGCCGCCTGCTGCGGCCCTGGAGTTCTTGAGCTGTAGATGTACCTGGCGCTGCGAACGCTCACAAACGACTGCGAGCGCGGCTGCTACGTATCCTTCGAGGCAAGGCGAGTCCTGGCCAGTGTTGTCAACCATAGGTCGTTTTTATAGCTAGATAGGACAACTAAAATGGCTAAAAGTAGCTAAAATTTAGCTAAAATTTAATTTATTTAAAAATACATATTTATATTATTTTATATATTATTATATAAATATAAAAAAATATTATTAATATTATTCATTATAGTATAATTAATATTATTAAAGAAATACCTTTAAATTAAATGTTATTCATTCATCAATTATCGAAAATTTAATCTACAGCAACCTCCTAGGTGCTTAGGTACATTTCTATTGTACCAATCTTTCGAGTCAACTCATTTCAATTTTTATTCATCCGATTTTACTGACTTTACAATATTTTCACTACGAAGAGATATATTTTTCTAATATAAAATATTGTTAATTTTCAAAATTTCCCGGTAGTCTGAATTAAAAAACAATCCAGACCGTAAATGAAGTGATAAAAAACGAATTTTACAAACCGTTTATTTGTTTTTATACAAATTTATTTTGTAAAATAACCAAAATAAAAGGCTGCCTGCCTGCTAAATTGTATGGTTTCCTCCAGGCTTGGCCAGAAAACCGCTTTGTTGGCCACACTGGTTCCTGGCTGCGAATCCGAATCCGAATTCGAAGCTCTTGCTCAGAGCGCGTGCCCGCGGTCGATATCAAGGGCGAAACCTGCACGGGGGTGGAATTCGGAACTCGGTCTTGCTGCCTGCTTCTGCTCCGTGGCCTGTGGAATGTGCTGAGCCAGCAGCAGTAGCAGCAGCAGGTGCTCGTGGTGTGCCAGAAAAACAAACAAAGCTAACAGATTATTTCTTGTAAAATGGAATTATCTATAAATAATGTGTATTATTTATTTATTAATATTATGTTAATTTTCTGGATTTTGTTTTAATGTTTACTATTTATTGATCCTTTTTTTAGTGTAGAATTTTTGAAGAATTTAAAAGCAATTTAAAACTTTGTTTTTAATTCTATAAATATGACCCCAATTGTGCAGGTGGTGTGGAACTTGATTTTATGTGGAACTTATTGCCTGATTTAACTTCGTAGCAAAGATCTCAACCAAAGTATTTATTATTAAAAGCGCCCCAAAAAGGGAAATTCTGCAAGCGACCTCTAGCGGTAGTTAGAGTGTAACCCAGAGACTAAATAAGTGTAGAACTTGACTAAACTTAGCTAGGTGGCAAACCAAACTATAGATAAAATTTAAAATTAAAAATGAAATGCTTTCAAACCCTTTTAATTTAGCAGTAAAAACACCTGTAAATGTTGTATTCTCTTCGTTATTACCTTTATTATTTCTACATACATCTCACACACGCTAGTCTTACGCTTAAGAGCCACACTTTCATCATAACAAAAAAAAAAAATTGTAAAAACTAGTACTAGAGGCTGAGGGAGATGGAAACTTAGAACAACTAAGAGTGGTTCTGCAGCAGGTAGTTGTAGGAGTAGTCAAAGACCAGCAGCATAATGGCACCGCCGGGTCCCAAACGCATAATCTTGGGCACCAGACCCTTGTAAAGAGCGCGGAAACCCTCCTCCCGGTAGACAATGCCCATGGAGCTGAACGTTCCCCGGTATTTGATGACGCCGGCCGCCGGCTGTGGTCCCTGGATACGCGACTTGGCCACATCGAAGGGTATGTTGACGAAGCAGGCCAATGTGCCGGCCAGAAAACCAATGGTCACCTTGCGCAAGAACTCCAAGTGCGTCTCCTTGTACTCGGGCACCACGTTCTTGACGCTGTGATAGAACCCAAAGTAGACCATATTGAACAGCCCATTGCGTCCCATGGTGGCTGTGACGCCCTTGTTGATGCCCCGCAGACCCACTCCGTCCTTCCGGATGATTTCCTTGGCTACATCGAATGTGCTGAGCAGCTTCTTTTGCCTGTCCGCCTGCTGGGCCACCTTGACCACCTCGAAGGGATTGACGGCAATGGCCTCCAGAGTGCCGGCCGTTAAGCCGGCCAACGAGAAGGTCAACGGTGTGGGGGTGGGCGAGCCGAACTGGAAGAGGGGTTTGGTCTGCTCGAAAACCAGGAATTTGATGGCACGCTTTGGGGTCTCGGCCAGAATGGGGGGCATGATGCCCTTCCAGTAGGAGGTGAGGCCCTCGTGCCGGTACATCTTGGCGAAGCAATCAAAGACGCCATTGTAGTGGAGCTGTGGGAGGATAGGGAATTTAGTTTGAATTTTATTTTAGATTTTTCTTTAAGCTAAAGATTCTTCTTTTAACTATAAAAATCCCTGTATTTTTTCTTTGTCTGGAAAGTCTTTTTCTTTTTCTTTTTTGTTTACTTTAGCTCACAGAGCTGGAACTATGTATAACGAGCATTGTTCCACTTGTCTATTTGCTAAATCTGTATTTGTTTTAATATCAACAACCCCACGTCCACCCCCTTTGTCCCCCTCTCTTGGTCTCTCTTAATATGCAGCCATAAATTTGTTTAATCATCACGCCTCGTCGTCCAAGAGATGCAAATGAAAATGAAATTGTGTCGCAGTTTTGAGACATTTTTATGCTGGGGGCCTACACAAGCGAAATATAGATGTCTAATGACGAGAGGAGTGCCTGTGATCATGTATAAATGAGAAAAACAAGAGCTACTGGAAAGCTTAATAAGAAATGCAGGTCAACTATATGAGACTTCTGATGGATTAGAGATATATAATAAATATTTGAATATATTAAATAATTATAATACATTAATAATAAAAAAAATAATAACATAAAAATAAACAAATAAAAAAATATAATAAAAGAATAAAATAAATATAATAAAATAAATAATATAATAAAAGAAAAAATAATAAAATAAATAAAAAGAATAAAATAAATATAATAATAAAATAATAAATATAATACTAAATATTATATTAAATATTACTAATAATAAACGTAACAAATTCATATCTCTAACTGATTATTGACAACAAAGAGGGTTAGCTTGTAACTCTTATTAATTTTTCCAGTAGCTCTTGTTTTTTCTCCTGCCTTGTTGTTATATTTATTCTTTACCCCTTGTTTATGAGAAAATCTTATTTTTATACTTGTACTGGGCCTTATCTAGAGCATTTAAAGCATAAAGATTTCCAGAAAACAAAGAGCCCAAAGTATACCCAGATAAGATAGGGTATTTGGAGACTCTGGGGAGCTTTAAAGGATTTTAACAAATGGAAATTTGAAAACTAAAAATTAAAAACGATTATGAACTCCATAAAAAATGTTATAATAAATAATAATATAATATAATATATTTTATAATATATTTTATTTTATATTAAAATTTATTACATTATATATATTTCTTTTTACCAATTAATAAACATTTTTAAGAAGTTTGTAATCTTTTTTTTATTATAATTTATTACATTATATATATTTATTTTTGCCAATTAATAAAATATATAATATAAAATACTATAATCAAATAAAATACATATATTATGTAGTATAATATATATAGAATTTATTTTTTATATAGTAAATTATCTGTAATATATATTTTTATTATCAGGAATACCTGTACATATATATTGCGACCCTCTAGAAGTCCTCTAGAAGTTTTAGTCTTTAGTTATTCCTCAAAAGAATTCTCCACCTAAAAGCTTTCTGTAACTACTCTTAACCTTTTTTTTTTATACCCAAAAAAATTAATGACATACACACGCGTGTCCAGTGTCGAAAACAAATGGAATCGAAAGTTAAGGCTACTATCAAAGCATAATTCCGATTTCAATTTCAGTTGTGGGGTGGGTAAGAAAGGGGGACAGGAGCGGTTCTTATGAAAAATATAGAAAAATCAACTTGAAGAACAAGAACTTAAATATATAAATATTTTTTATAAATATTTGTATATTTATATATATTTAAAAAAATATATATAATATTTATATTAAAAAATATTTCAAAAATATATAGAAACATCAAAAACTTATTTGGTCTCAAGTTTCTATTAAATGTAAAATTTCTTATATTTTTATAAATATAAAATAATATTTATATTAAAAACAAACCCCCTTCCCCCCTTGAAGTCCGGCCCTGGTGGCGGCTAACTCAGCTGATAAATCGCGCGACACGCGTCGGCGGCTGAAAGGGACGGGGACGGGGGGCTATTGCTTGGCGGTTGATAAATATGGACTATCTGTCCTCCTCGCACCTCCCCCTCCCCTCCCCCGCTTGACACTGACCACCCAGCCAGAGAATGTAAACACAGGGAGAGGCAGTGGAAGGGAGAGAGCGGCAGAGAGCCTCTCCCACTCCCCACACACAGTGGAGCTCTCGGCAGACTCTTGGAGTGCGTGTGTCCGTGACCTTGCTTTGCCCTTATCCAAAAAGAGAGAGCATAATAGACCCAAAGAAATCAGCTGTTGAGCTAGGGCTACCAGAAGCTACCTACATGATACAAGATACAAAGGCAAATAACAGCTGAGAGATACAGGTGTATCTTTGAGATAAGAAAAGCTGTAGCTAAAGTGTTGGAAACTCTCTACGAGCTATCTTTGACTTTTAAAGCTTGCAATAAATTTTATAATTTTTCTGAGAGGCTAGACATTGTTTATTTGTATCTAAAAGATGCCTAAAAAACCTAGAAATAGTTTGTAGCTTACAAATACTCATCTTAAAATATATTCTAGCAACCAAAAACTCCTTGAAATTGCTAATTACATTATTTATATTTATAATAAGCAAAGAATTAAGGTTTTTTAGTGGAAAAACTTGACCTGTTTAATAGGTTTTCTTGGTTGAACTTGGAAATTCTATTTCGATTTCTTATCTTAAAGTAGACTTACCTCATTCAGTGCCGTTCCAGCCACTGAGGGTGTGGCCTGTATCTGCATGCGGGTCTTGACCACATCCAGGGGCTGCATAATGCAGACCTCCAGGAAGCCAGCCGATCCGCCGGCCAGCACCTGGAAGGCAGCCCGCTTGCCGTGCGAGATTTCTGGCGCAACAATTTGGGCTGAGGCGGCCATTGTAGCTTCTTTTATTTTTTTTAGTTAAAAACTATAAAATGTAAAACTAAAGCACTTTTTTGATAGTTTATTACAAGCCTTCTTTTGAGAAGAAAACAAAAATTGTAAAAAAAAAAATCCAGTAAAAAAGTGGGTAAAAAGTCTTTAAAAAAGTGTTTAAAAAATGTTAAAAAAAACTTTTTAAACAACAAAATGTGCCTTAAAATATGTAAATAATATTTATTTTTTGGGCAGCACCGGAGAACGCTGCTCGCCGCCGCACAGTTCGAGAACGCAATTCGCACTGAGCCCCTCGACGCGGTAGAAAGAGGCAGCTGCCCCTCGGCCGGCAGACAAAGACGGCTAACATGGCCGGAAAGAGAAAGAACGACATTTTATGACACAAGAGGGGGGAGACAAGGGGACACGGTACATGGGGTGTCGCTGGAACGGGGTCGGGGCTAAGCTTTCGCCGGCTGAAAAGCCACAAGGCAGCAAAGCCTCAAAGCAGCCAAGCAAAAACGGAATCCGATTCCGATACGCATTCGGATTCCGGAGGGAATTCGAATTCAGATTCAGATTCTCAGCCAGACGGGAGAGAGACATGTGCTGGAATAGCGCGTTAATTGAATTTGCTCGCACAGATCGTTGAGCTTTGCGCGATTCTAGTTATTCTTCGTCATCGCCGTCGAGATCTTGGCGATTCGAAAAGCTCAAGATATGCCCAAGTATTGTTGGATTTTGGACAAAGAAAGCTTTGGTTTATGCTGGGAGACCGAGGGTGGAAATGTGTGACCCCCTTTTTGTAGGGAGAAAATATTTAGAAAATATATTTAAAGGGGTTTACCTATTGAGAAAATTGAGAAATTCATAGAGAAATATATTGGAAATATAGGAGAAAAATCTATAATAATTAATCTTAATTTCGGAAAGCCAAAGTTTATAAAATTAAAAAAAAAAGGTTTCATTTTTGGGAAAAATCGAAGTTTCGAAGATCTATAACTCGGTCAAAAACGCATTAAATTCAATTTGGAAAGCGTTTTTGTGTTAGTTTTTAGAAGAGTTAAAAATCTGCATACTCCTTTTTTGTTTTTTAAAAATTCAATTTTTGGCCAATTTTCGAGAATTTTAATGATGTAACCCCTTATCAAATTTTGGAAAAATGGCTCAAAAAAATTTTTGCCCGGACATGTCCTAAAAGATTTGCCTGTTAATGCTGATCAAGAATATATATGATTTATGGGGTCGGAAATGACTCCTTCACTGAAAAAAAATCATAATAACCTTCAAGAAGACCGAAAATATAAAATTTTTTTAAATGGTTATTTATTTATAATTCGATATTAAGTATTTTGGGACAATAAAAAGCAAAAAGTTTGGGGATATTTAGAATTCTAAACTTAACTTATTTTCAAGTGAAATCTTATTTTAAGCTACTTAAAAATCAATATAAAAATACCTAACATATATTTTCATAAGCCTTTAAGCCAAATAACGAACTGAAAACCCCTCAGATACTATTGTATCTTTACTTAGAGAGTTCCTTAAAATTTCTTTCCATACCAACAACAACTTATTTTCCAGTAAAAACAGTTACTTAGCCAATTCAAAATCAATCCTAAATTATTCAACATGAAATTCCACACTTGAAAAACCCAGATAATCCACCCAAAAACTTCTAGATACTCTTGTATCTTTTGCAACAGGTAGAAGAATGGACAGACTTAGGCCTTCTTGACTAGAAAATTCCACCCTCTTAACCAAAAGAAAAACAATTTCGAACATTCAAGAGGCCCGGCAGATAGTGAAATCCATTTGACGAATAATTGGAACTGTAATTCAAACTACAGAGTGTGTATATCATGGAGTGGCTTACAGATACGACAGGCAAATGGGCAAATTAATAGATAACGAAGTTAGTTATGATTGATGATGAAAGGCAGTCATAAAGCGATAAAGAAACTAATTTCAGTAAAGCAAAACAATCGTTTAGAAGTAGGGAATTTATTTATATAGTATATATTTTAATTTAAACCTACACAAAGTGAGATATAAAAGTATCTTTCTGCAATCTGGGTACAATTATTTGTTGAGCTCTCAGCCATCCTTCAGCTTCACACCTGATCTTTGACAGTATCGCATCCATTAGATAGCTTATCTGAGGCTCTCAAGACGGCGCATTAGCGTTGCTCCTCGCCCATGTAAACACACGCTGCCAAAGCACGAGACAATGGACAAACAAATCGTTTGACATCTTCCACAAGATATCTCCAACTCCAACTCCAAGCCTGACTCTTGATTGGTTTATTGTTCATGGCCCACGGCAGGCCGGACATCAATCAAGAGACACCAGATACGATCGTCGATTGAGGACAACTTTCATTTACATAAAATGCATTCTAAACCGAAATTGATAGAACAAATTTTGTTGGTGTCAAAAATGCAACTAGCAGCGGTCTATGATTTAGATGCCTTTCTTTTCAGTGTCTCAGGTCTCTCTGTCAGGTTTGTTTCTGTGGCTTTGTCTGTCTGCGTGTGTTTTATGATTGTCCAAATATTTTTTGGCTGTTAATTATGGGCACGAGTTGGCGTGACTGATGGCAGCCAGAGGATGGACAGATGGAGATGGAGATGCAGCTAGAGATACAGATACAAGGAGAGCTAGAAGAGATACAGATACAGAGATGCAGAGACAGCTTAAGATACAGATAGAGACTGTTAAAGATATAGATACATTTAGAGATTCAGGGACACCTAAGAGATACAGATAGAGACAGCTAAAGATATAGATACAGAGACACCTTAGAGATACAGCTACAAATACAAATCCCCAAGATGTGCCTTCCTGGCTGTGTGGAATTTCCAATGGAAAACGCATTAAAACCCATTAAAAGCATATTAATCCCGACCAGGAATCACACCGGGCAACCACCTGACCTGACCCCTCGCTCCTGACCTAATAATGCTGTCAAGTCACGCAATCGGGAATCGGATGAGTGCCCCAAGAAACATGAATGGGATCCGCAGCACACATCCCATTTGTTCCCATCGATTTTCGATTCATTTCGCCCGGATGATCACCTGGCCAAATGGATATTCCCCCCCATGTTTGGTAATTAGCCCGAGTTTTACGAGCGCAACATGCGGCTGCTGCGCGGCTCTTGTAGAATGCCACATGCGAGCGCCGATTGATCGATCAAAGCTGCGATACACCAGGCTAATCAATCATTTTTCCATTTTCCATTTTCCCCCCAAAGCTGGCTGCAAAGTGAGAACTCACGACCGCCTGCAGCTTGTCCGTGTCCGTTGGTGTCCGTCAAAGGCTATTAACCCCGTTTTTTTTTTGGACACTCTAGAGTGTGTGTTCCACTTGTTGCAAACCAAAACACCAGAAACAACACACACACTTGTGGCACTGAGAAACAAAAACAAGTTGGCCCCAAAACACAAACCAGAGCGTTGGCTTCAAAAGGGGGAAGGTTAAGATCTGGGGGTCTGCCCTTCAAAGGCTAACCGAAATGTTCACTTCCAAGGCGAGGAGGAGCGAGGCTCTTAGCGAAGGAGGAGGAGGAGCGAGGCTTTTACCGGAGAAGGAGGAACTGGACTTGGCAGCTTGGAGCAGCCACAACAAAGGGAATCAGGAGAGAATCAGGGAATCAGTTTAGAGTGTTTTGATTAATGCCAGTTTTGACAGCTGTCCAAGAGCTGCCACCGCTGGAAAATGGGAAACGGAGAAGGGGAAGGAGAAGGAAAAGGAAATGGAGTAGGAGAAGGAGATGAAGCTGGAGCTGGAGCTGGAGCTGGAGCAGGGAGCTGGAGATGGAGCAGGAGATGGAGTTGGAGCTAGCGATGGAGCTGGAGCTGGAGGAGGGAGCTGGAGCAGCAGATGGAGCTGGAGATAGAGCAGAAGAAGGAGCTGGAGCAGGGAGCTGGAGCAGGAGATGGAGCTGGATCAGGAGCTGGATCAGGAGATGGAGCAGAAGATGGAGCAGGGAGCTGGGTCCAAAATCCAGCAGCTGAAGCACTAAAATAACTAGTTCCAGCTCTCCAAATTCTATAGAAGACCTCACAAGTGATCTCCTCATAAAAAACATATTTTTAAAGACTTCTAGAAGTCCCCACAAAGTCAAAATCTCTACTTTTGTGTATGAAGTTACCTTCTTTCCAAAGACCTAGAAAAAAACTCTTCCTGAAACATATTTCCAAGGTAAAATACAAGTAGTTATTTCTGCTTTAGGACCTACATTACACCAGGTGACCCACTGCCAAGCCATAAACCGGCTCAACTTGGCCACCTTTTAACCCACAAGAAACCCACAACAAGCTGTGCGATTTTCGCCCAAAACGAAAGTAAGTGTTACGACATCTGAGACATGGTCAAATGAAGAACCAACATAAAACCCTACTCTATAAAGCCAAGAACATAAAGTACTACCATGACCATTTACCAGTCACTAAGCCAAGCAAATGGAGGTGCTCTTAGCAGCTAGCTGCCTTCTCCTAGTTACCACTTTGACGGCAGGACAGGGAAGCGAGCATCATCGTCCCCTGTGGATACTAGAGGATGGCCTGGCCAAAAGGCAGCGGCAGGAGAGGCCCGAGGAGGACTATGCCACCACCACCAGGCAACCTTTGATGAGGAGGCAGACCAGAGGAGGAGGAAACCAAGAACCAAAACCCATCACCTTTCTAGTGAGACACGAGGAGGAGGAAGATGATGAACCAGAGCCGCCACCGGTGGCTCGCAGGCTTATGCCCTCGCTGCCCCAGCGACGCTTCATGATGCCCCACCGTCTGCAGTTGCCCCACCAGTATGTGCAATCCAACCACCACCACAGGATCAGGAGCAAAGCCAGGAGCAGCAGTGGCAGCCAACACCGCCGGACAGGAGGTCGTCACCTGCCCGTCTTTGATAATGCTCCCGGCGAGAATTCCCTAAAAACTGGGCATGACAACTACCCCATCTTTGTGTACAATGGCACCCGAGGTGAGCTCATCCTGAACACTATGCTGAGCAGAAGGCGATATCCGATGCAGGAGCCAGTGCCGGGACAGGTACTCTATCCCCCCTCGACGCCCATGTTCCGGCCGAAGCCCATTGTGGAGCGTTTCCGGTTGCCAGGACAGCGGGAGATGCTCAATCTCACGCTGATACCCTTCTATGCCCACGAGGCTATCGCCAAGCCAAGCGGAGGAGTGGCTACCCAAGCACCCAGCACCACCCAAGCCACGCCCACGTTACCGCCTCTGCAGCCTTATGAAACCCAACTGCCCAGGAGCCAGCAGCGGAAACGGAAGAAGGCCAAGCAGTACGAGGCCTTCCACTCGCCGCAGGAGGTGATGCAGTGGCAGACGGTGCTGAGGCGGCATGCCCACGAGCAGCAGCAGCAGGATCGTGACAACCACAGGCATTACTCGAGCGAGGAGAGGCCGAGCCACCAGGAACAAGGTCATGAGGAAATCTTGATGGATGAGGGAGAGCATCAGGAGGAGGAGGAGGAGCAGGATCAGGAGGAGGCATGGGTCACCACCGAGCAGGAAACAGAAACGGAGGTGGAACTGCCGCCGGAACCGGAGGCGGAGATCTCCACCACCCCCAGCAGTGGTCCCTTTCAGATTGTTTACCTGGACGACAGCCTGGAGAGACCGGTGACCAGCAGGAGCAGCTCCACCATCACCACCACTGACCAGCCCCCCATGCTCCGGCAGAGCTCCCGCTATGCCCTCAAGCGGGAGTACTATGCCTTTCCCGTCTACACTCTGGGGAAACTCCTCCAGCCGCAGGCCAAGAAGCTGCTCCTGGAGAAGAGTGATCGAACGGAGAGGGGACTGCCCTCGGAGAGGGGACCCAACACCTGGTTCATCCTCAATTCGCGGTGGGTTGAGCCCTCTCACAGGAGCGCAATGACTCACGACATGATCTCTAATTTTAGCTACAAGGGACCCCACCACCAACGGGCATCCGGGGGAGCGGATAACCAGACCAAGTACTACACCTCCAAGTACGTGGAGAGTGGCTTCAGGCCAAGGAGATAGCTCAACAGGAGTGGGGATAAACGGAGAGCTAGAGATTAATGGATAAGAAGAGAGGATAAAGTTGTTGGTTTGCTAGGAAAGAGAGTCCTTGCAGGGATAGTAAGTAGAAAATAATAACGGAATATAAATTTAGAATTAAAAAGAGCGAAAAAGCAAGAGAGAAATGCTGCAGAGACACATTTAAGGGAAAATATTCAAATTTAAAATCTTTAAATTGATAATTATTTAATTGTTTACTAAATATTTACTAATAATATTAATAATTATGGTTTTAAAGGCTTTACAATGCTAATATTTCAGGGATTCTTGGAAGCATCGGGAATCCGATTAATCCGATTTACATTTAAAATCTAAAATCTAAAAAATAGGCTGAAATAGTTTCGTTCTTCTTGAAGGCTATTTATAATTTTTTTCAGTGAAGCATCCATTTCCGACCCCATAAACCATATATATTCTTGATCAGCATTAACAGGCGAATCGTTTAAGACATGTCTGGGCAAAATTTTTTTTCGAGCCATTTTTTCAAAATTTGATAAGGGGTTACATCATTAAAATTCTCGAAAATTGGCCAAAAATTGAATTTTTTTAAAACAAAAAAGGAGTATGCAGATTTTAAACCCTTCTAAAAACTAACACAAAAACGCTTTCCAAATTGAATTTAAGGCATTTTTGGCAGAGTTATAGATTTTTGAAATATAGAATTTTATCTTAAAACTTTAAGCTTAACATTAATAAACCACAAGTAACAAATTAAGTTAAAAAAAGGGTCCGAATGCGATCCGGCGATGATCATTAACGCCTCCCCAAAGGGCAGTACGAATCAAAAGATACAAGAAAGGTGGATTCTGGGTTCATGAGACAGTTTAGATTGTGATGGGGCCCAGTTTGGAAAACAGTTTTACAAGCAATAAACACATAAAGGGCAACCATAAATTCCTGGCCAAAGAATATAGCCATTCTCTGAACGGGGAGTCGTAAATTGGAAAGTGGATAATAGAGCCCAGAATTTTCCGCTGGACTCTATTGAGTTGCATAACCCAACAGCAGCAGGGGCAGCAACATTAGCTTCAGCTTCACGTTCAGCGGCGTGCAAATCGAACCGCGACGAGGCAAGAGGATGAGCTGGAGGCGTCGACTGACCCAAATTCCAGAGACCAAAATCCCAATATCAGAATCAGAAAGAAAAACAAAATCTCAAAGTGTTAAAAAGCGAGGCGGAAAACAACACAAACAACACGGGAGTCTAGGGGCCAGGGAAGAGTCATCAACAAATTTTTATGGCCAATCGAAAGAGGCATGGATGGGCGGCCCTTTTATGCCCCATGCCCCATGCCCCACACTCCATACCCACCATGTCCATCGCCTCCTCGGGGCCCCGTCATTGGCTCCATCATTCATTCAATCACTTTGTCAATGATGCGGCGGCGTTCCACGTTCTCCACGTTCATTATTATTATTGATTTCCCAGCTTAGTTTTCGCTCTGCGCAGCCTGCAATTAATTTTCTCGTTGTTCTTACAAGCGTTTTCCAACCGCTCATCTGCGGGAAAACCAGATGAAGGCGGCGGCAAAGGCGGCTTTTTCTGTTGCTGTGGGGCAGTCCCCGCTGCTGGGCCACACAATCGATCCCCCAAACCCATCTCCCCTGCCCATTCCCCTGACCCTTTCCCCTGACCCTTTCCCATCTTCATTCCCACTCCCAAAGCCTCCTCTCCTCTTCTTTTTTTTCGGCTATAAAAGCTTGGAGACGACTCTTTTTGGGCTTAGAACAAAGGCAACAGCGATCGCGAACGGTTCGAAGGCAGAAAGAAGTCGCAGTTTGCTTCTAATAATTCTTAATTATTATTTTTTTAAATATTTTTTTATTGTTTGCCCCGAAGGATAAACGGGAAAGAAATTTCCAAGCAAAGTGCTTCAAAAAATGTGGCTATATTTTGTGGTATGTGTTAAGTTGAACCAAAGGATAACTAAAGGATAACAAAAATTAAAATAATAAAAATAAAAATAGTGATGAAAAAAGCAAGCAAACAGGATTATATTCTGGACATTTAAAAGGATTAAAATTTATAAATAATATAATAATAATTTCATAGGATGTGTTGATAATTAAAAACAATACAAAATTAAAAAAGGAATATTTATAAAGAGCCAAAAACAGGCCAACTCTTGTGGCTTGCTCTTGTGTGTAAATTTAAGCAAATAAAATATTTAACATCCTTTAGAAGTATTACAAATTATTATTTATTATTATTTATAATAAATATATTCTAGTATCCTTTTTTTTAATTAATAAAAAGAAAATACAATGGTAGAAAAGCAAATTAGGATCTTCATTAGGGATTAAGGCCTCTTAAAAATTCTATTAAAATTATTATTAATGATTAATTAATAATTATATTAATTAATAATAATATTTAATCATTATTATAAAGTTATAATCTTAAAAATCTATTACTTAGTTAAAAATGTCTTAAATTCAATTCGGAAAGCTGTTTTCAGTTAGACTTTAAAAGGTTAATAAAACTGCCTACCAAATTTAATTTAAATGTTTACCTATTATATATACATTTTTTAAAGAAACATAATTTAAAAAATTGGTAAAAATCTAAATTTCAAACATCTATAACTCAGCCAAAAATCCTGTAAATTCAATTTGGAAAGCGTTTTTGTGTTAGTTTTAATACGTTTAACAAATCTGCATACTCCTTTTTTGTTTTTAAAAAATTCAATTTTTTTCGAATTTTCAAGAATTTTAATGATGGTACCCCTATCAAATTTTTGAAAAATGGCTCAAAAAAAAATTTTGCTCGGACATGTCTTAAAAGATTCGCTGATTTATGCTGATCAAGAATATATATGGTTTATAGGGTCGGAAATGGATGCTTCACTGAAAAAAATTATAAATTCCCTTCAGGAAGACCGAAAATATTAAAATATTAAATATTAATTAATTCAGAATATTAATTAATTCATATAATGACTATTGGAAAATTGTATACAATTTAATTATTTAATAATTCATTAATTTTCTCCCAAACTCATGCTGATCTTCTCCTGTTTCTATTCACATCCAGATCACAGCTATCCTGGCTAGCTCCGAGCTCGCCGATGCCTTCTGGTGGCCCAAGACAACGACGTAAGTGGGCGTGGGAAAAATCCTCAAATTAAATTAATTTAATTAATATTTTCCTTTATTTCCCTAGGGAATCCCCCGGCGGTGGCCAGGTGCTGCAGCAGATCCCCCTGACCTACTTCCGCACCTACACATACCAGCCTTTGGCGCCCGGCGGTCCCTTCAGCCTGCCCTTCATTGGCTTTGGAGCGGCCCAGGCGCCCCTGCTCCCTGGTCCCCAGTACGATCCCTATGCGGTGACCAGCTATGCGGCTGCCCGGCGACACGACACGGCCTCCCGGCCGGAAGTGACTCCTCCGGTGGCGGCGGCATTGGGCAGTACCCAACCAAGCACCAGTACCACCACCACGACCACCACACCTGTGCCCACAACGTCAACGACGACGACTACAACCACCACAACGCCGGCACCGACCACGACGTCGACGACGACGACGAGCACTACGACACCACCGCCACCTCCTCCTCCACCGCAGCAAGCTGCCAGCAGTGGCTTCTCCGAGGGATCCTCGCCAGCCGCGGGCTCCAGCCTGCTGCGCTACGGAGAATACCCCACCTACAGCCGGCGGGTGAGCAACCTGTACAACGCCCGGCCGCAGTATCCGTATCCGGACTACTTCAATTACCAGGCGCCGCAGAACATGATGGCGGCAGCGGCAGCGGCGGCGGAGCAGGGCGCCAGTGGCACTCGCATCCAGTTCGTGCCCTGCATGTGTCCCATTAGTGTGCCCAGTGTCGTCTCGGCCGCTTCTCCTCCAGCAGCAGCAGCCACAGCGCCTCCGCTGGCCGCCATCACAGCTCCATCTTCGGAGTCACAGCCGGCGGCACGGCACATCGAAAGGCACAGCCAGGAACAGGAAGCGGATGCCGATGGCGAGACGGAGAACGATGGTGATGAGGATCAGGACGAGGAGGAGCAGGACCAGGACCAGGAGCCGGGACAGCACGACGAGGGTGCCAGCAAAACCGAGCCGGAACCACTGGAGACGACCTCCGACAGTCCCGTCTAGGTGCTTTAATCGAATTAGCAGTCCCAGTCACAGCCAACAGCAGGACTGCGGCGGAGGCGGAGGAGGGGGCGGCGGCGGCGGATCAGGGTGGCTGCGGCGGCGGCGGAGCAGGAGCAGTGGCAGGGCGGCGGTGGCGGAGCAGGGCTGCTGCAGGAGCAGGAGGAGGGCAGCGGCGGCGGCGGCGGAGCAGCGCTGCTGCAGGAGCAGGAGCAGGGCTGCTGCAGGACCAGGAGCAGGGCGCCGGCGGCGGAGCAGGGCTGCTGCAGGAGCAGGAGCAGGGCAGCGGCGGCGGCGGCGGAGCAGGGCTGCTGCAGGAGCAGGAGCAGGGCAGCGGCGCCGGCGCCGGCGGCGGAGCAGGGCAGCTGCAGGAGCAGGGCAGCGGCGGCGGCGGCGGAGCAGCGCTGCTGCAGGAGCAGGAGCAGGGCTGCTGCAGGACCAGGAGCAGGGCGCCGGCGGCGGAGCAGGGCTGCTGCAGGAGCAGGAGCAGGGCAGCGGCGGCGGCGGCGGAGCAGCGCTGCTGCAGGAGCAGGAGCAGGGCTGCTGCAGGACCAGGAGCAGGGCGCCGGCGGCGGAGCAGCGCTGCTGCAGGAGCAGGAGCAGGGCTGCTGCAGGACCAGGAGCAGGGCGCCGGCGGCGGAGCAGGGCTGCTGCAGGAGCAGGAGCAGGGCTGCTGCAGGACCAGGAGCAGGGCGCCGGCGGCGGAGCAGGGCTGCTGCAGGAGCAGGAGCAGGGCTGCTGCAGGACCAGGAGCAGGGCGCCGGCGGCGGAGCAGGGCTGCTGCAGGAGCAGGAGCAGGGCGCCGGCGGCGGAGCAGCGCTGCTGCAGGAGCAGGAGCAGGGCTGCTGCCGGACCAGGAGCAGGGCTGCTGCAGGACCAGGAGCAGGGCTGCTGCAGGACCAGGAGCAGGGCGCCGGCGGCGGAGCAGGGCTGGAGCAGGAGCAGGGCTGCTGCAGGAGCAGGAGCAGGGCAGCGGCGCCGGCGGCGAAGCAGGGCTGCTGCAGGAGCAGGAGCAGGAGCAGGGCAGCGGCAGGGCAGCGGCGCCGGCGCCGGCGGAGCAGGGCTGCTGCAGGAGCAGGAGCAGGGCAGCGGCGGCGGAGCAGGGCTGCTGCAGGAGCAGGAGCATGGCAGCGGCGGCGGAGCAGGGCTGCTGCAGGAGCAGGAGCAGGGCAGCAGCGCCGGCGGCGGAGCAGGGCTGCTGCAGGAGCAGGGCTGCTGCAGGAGCAGGGCTGCTGCAGGAGCAGGAGCAGGGCAGCGGCGGCGGCGGCGGAGCAGGGCAGCGGCGGCGGCGGCTGAGCAGGGCTGCTGCAGGACCAGGAGCAGGGCGCCGGCGGCGGAGCAGGGCTGCTGCAGGAGCAGGAGCACGGCAGCAGCGCCGGCGGCGGAGCAGGGCTGCTGCAGGAGCAGGGCAGCGGCGGCGGAGCAGGGCTGCTGCAGGAGCAGGAGCAGGGCAGCGGCGGCGGAGCAGGGCTGCTGCAGGAGCACGGCAGTGGCTTCTCGGAGGGATTCTTTCCAGCCTTACAGTAAATTATAAATTATACATAAGCAATAATATTACTATTTTTAAACGATTTTTGTACAATTTTATTTATAAAAATTGAATAAATATGGTGAAAAGTATTTTCCCAGTATACTTTATTTATTTATTTATTTATTGTATAGCTGGGTTGGCTTCACGGATGTAAAGTAAGATGCATTTTTCTCCCAATGTTGCAATATACCTACCTGGGCATCACTGGCAGGTAGTGAGATGCCATTTTGTCCCAATGGAGCATCCTAGCTAAATGAGCATCACTGGCAGTTAGTGGCAAAATTAAAAAATTAAAGCATACTTTTGGGGATTTCTATTAAAAACGTGGCATCTTTTAGGCGGAAGTTCGTTTTACAGTTTGACAAGCACTGGTCCAAGTGAGATTCAACTTTTTACAGTTTGACAAGCACTGGTCCAAGTGAGATTCAATTTTTACAGTTTGACAAGCACTGGTCAGAAACTCCCTTTTGAGCGTCAAAAGTGGAGTTTCTGTCCAGTGGCTCTAAAACTGTAAAAATCGAATCTCACTTGGTCCAGTGCTTGTCAAACTGTAAAAGTTTGGAACTCCCTTAGACCAGTGCTTGTCAAACTGTAAAAGTGGAGTTGCATTCATCCCCGCCCAAAAGTATGCCTTACTTTATATTTTAATTTTAATTTAAATTCAGCGCAAAAGATGCCACAAAAATGACCAACTTATATTTTAAAATGCCTAAAAGTAGGCAATTTTTTTACTAAAAAATTTTAAAAAATCTAAAAAAAATCTAAAAAATCTGAAAAAAATGTTAAAAATTCAGAAAAAATTGTAAAAATTCAGGAAAACCTTCAAAAATTTAGAAAAAAAATGTAAAAATCCAGAAAAATTGTAAAAATCCGAAAAAAAATGTTAAAAATTCAGGAAAAAATCGTAAAAATGTAGATTTTGTTTTCAAAAGAATTTTCCCCAAACAATCCCAAGGCCCCCAAATAAATGCAGCCATCAAGAAAATTTTTCACATTGATTTCACGTTCTTTTATTGATTCATATTCGTATGTTCCATCAATTACATTTACACATTTAAATTGTATTTATAAATATTCTAATACTTTGCGCCTTCTGCACGATTTCAACTAGCCCCGAGCCAAGTTCCGACCTCCGTTCTCCGCTGCCATCGGCTTGAGCTCCGCCATCCCAGCTGCTCTCGCTCCTCCAGCTCCGCCTCTGCCGATCCGATGCGATCCGATCATCAATCAACAATTACAATTACATTTACTTAACTAGGATGAACTTGTGCTTCGAGTCTTTGAAGTAGAAATTAGCATGCTTTCTTCTTTGTTTGGATTTTCTGGGAATTTTTTTAGGGAAAAGCGGAAAGCTCCTTCGATTTTTGCGCGCTGATTTTTCGGGGTTTTTTCTTGTTTTGTGAGGGCGCCAAAGTTTTTTTTTGTTTCTAAACATAGTTAATGCATAAGTCGTACAAACAAGGGCTTTAAGTAGTATATATATATGGTAGTATACAACTAATTGAGGGGGAAAATATATAATCAGTCGTTTAAGTTTTAGATATACATGTACAATACATCGATATATAAATATAGTCATAAATATATGCAAGTACAAGTACAATTACAATTACAGTTACCATTACAATTACCATTACAGTTACAATTACGACGCGGATTGAACGATTAAAGAGTTACGCGCCCACGAGTACCCCAAAAAAACGCGCAATAAAAAAAAATGGGTCTTACTTGCTACCAAGATCGTACTGATCGTACTGATAGTACCTAGTGCCTAGAGTTCGCTGCGCATGCGCTTCCAAAAACCAACTCTCTTTTCGCTTTTCCATTTTGCTTTGTGTGTGTTACAGTTGCTTACTTTTGTTTTTCGTGGCTTACGTGGTAAAGAAAATTGCATTAATATGGCCTATCAATCTATCTGAATATGTGTATCCTTCTCTCATTTATCAGCTCTCTCTCTTTGTCAGCTCCCTAACTCATTTTCCTCATTCTTAGTTAGTCTTTTCCAAACTAATAAAAAAAAATATTATATTTATCTCTCTTTTTTGCTTACAAGATATGATTTTTTGTGTTTTCTTTACTCGTTTTTGCATACTTTCTTTTGTTTCGTTTTCCCTGGAACTCTATATTTCCCTTGGGTTTTCCTCGTTGAGCCCACCGATTGCATCGGCTGCTGTCTCGTTAATTGTTATCGTTATCCTTCTCTGTCTCTAGATTTACTAGGTTTCTTCTCAAAAAAAATATATTAATAATAAACTTATGCGAGTCGTCCTTTTGTTGTTGTTTAAATATAATGAGATTGCGCCAGACTAAACTCTCAAGATCATTTACACATTCACTCAAAAGTCCTGCTGCCTGCCTGCCACTCCATGAACACTTTTGGAAATCAGTTGTAAGAACTTTATCTCTCTCTTTCTCTGCTGGGCGGCCATTGCTTTATCACAGGACTTCCTCTTTCTCTCTCTATATCTCTCTCGCTCACAATTGCCGCCCTCTACCATTAAATGCCACTGTTTTGGAGGCGTGGCAGGCCCTAAATAAATACTAAAAAATTAGGAGAGCAGAGTCTGAAAAAAACACACACAGTAAAAAAAAAACAGGCTAAAAAAACTATAAACTAAATGCTCGCAATCTCAGATCTCTCGTAACTAGTAACTAAAACTAAACCCAAGTATATATACTATATATATAGATAGTAATGTGTATACGTAACCGTGTAGCAGCGCATCGTCGGAGAGCTGGAGGGGCTGTGGCCTTGCTGATATGTCGTCCCTTCTGCTTTTGAATTCCTTACTCATCCTCCTCCTCCTTCTCCGCAGCCACCTCCAGCTCCTTCTTCCTCACCGGTTTGTCCTCCTTTTTCCACATACATATATGTTATATCTCGTCCTTTTGCCTAGACAAAGGTCTCCCGGATGACGGTGCCGCTGCTACTGGTGCTTAGATCTTAGAACTCGGTTGATTGTCAGACGAACGAGGAGAAGCCGGGCAGCGGTGCCCTCGATCTGGCCATATTATTGACGATAATCTGGCCACCATTGAGGCTCATCACTGCACTGCCCTCCGGCTCCGAGTCGGTGTAGCTGGAGTAGTTTCTCACCGGCTTGGTCTTCTTCCACGACTGTCGCAGCGAGTCGTTCACGTTGGCGTAGTGATTAACGAACGAATGCGGATCGCTGCGCACGCTCTCGTTTTCGCTCTCTGAGTGCTGAAAGTTGGGGGGGGGACATGAGTATGGTTTTTTGGGTTTTGTGGAAAGCGGTCTTGTAAATGCAACACACACACATATACCAGAACACACTTGTCATGGCAAATATATTGGGGAATATATAGTTTTATATATAATATTTGATATTTAGTTGTTGTCTTCCCAATATATTTGCGCACTGAACCCGAATCTGGCCATGAAATCGCACCAGCATTCAGCATTTTCTTAATTAAAAATGAGATAAAAATAAGTAACTTAGGGGGTTTTGCAACTCAAATTGTAAATTTGTAATAAAACAAATCAAAATCGAAACAAAATTAAATACAAGTTAAATTTAAAAGTAAAAAAAAATAATAATAAAATAAAATACAAACAAAATCAAATAAAAATTATAATCAAATTAAAATCAAAGTAAAAATCAAAGTAAAAATCAAAGTAAAAATCAAAGCAAAAATCAAATCAAAATCAAAGTAAAAATCAAATAAAAATCAAAGTAAAATCAAATTAAAAATTAAAATCAAAATCAAAATAAAAATCAAATAAAAATCAACAATAAAAAAACACATGCCTGCTGAAGATTTCCAACTCTGCCCAGTCTCGTACTCAGCACCTGGCATATATCTTTCGAAATGTTTCGATTCGATTGTGTTTTTTTGTTTACAAAACCCCATCAAGTATACCATAATTTTTCCCACCTTGAAACCCACCTGCGATGCCTCCGAGCTGCTGACCTCTGATGGCTTCTCGGTGACGCTGCTATCGTCCGGATTCTCATCGTAGCACTTGAGGCTCTCCTCGTCACTGTGATACGCCACCGAGGCTGGCGATGGACGCGGCGGACTCTTGCCCAGCTGAACGCCCGGCGGCGGTCGATTGGTAGACTTTCTGCCCAGTGTTCCCAAGGTGCCGCTGCGCAGAGTTCCAACGCTGTTCAGAGTGCCAGTGCCGACGCCATGACGCGAACGATACAGTTCCAAGGCCAGTTCCTGGCGTTCATCAATCGACATGGCCATGGATTCCTCTAGGGTTTTTTGGGCCTCCTCTGTTTTGGGTGAGAATTCAATTTCAATTGGTTACAAAATCCTTTTTAAGTAAGGAGACCAAGACCTACGTTTGTACTTGTAGCTCTTGCTTTTGACACACAGAACGGCAATGACCATCACAATGATCACAATCGAGGTGGCAGCCAGGGAGACCATGAACCAGGTCTGTCGATAGAAGGGCTTGTGCTGCAGATAGCCATACTCCAGGTGCAGCTTCGAGGGCGTCAGAATGGAGTCCTTGGAGTACACAGGGAACGAGATGCCATAGCGATTGTAGGCAATCACACGGAAGGTATACGCCGTGGAGGGCATCAGGATGTGGTAGCTGACGGTAAAGTCCTGCATCATTCCCTTCTTTGTCTGCTCGATTTTCGTCCAACGGGAGTCGTCTGTGATTTTGAGGGGGAATAAGCATATATATAGTTAAGGTTTTGGCTTTTAATTAGGTTATTCTCTATAAATTAAAGCTCAAATAAAATTAAAAACGAATCAAAAGAAAGTGTTTTGTTTCAAGTTGAAATCACCACAAAGTTAGTTCTAAGCAAGAAAGGAAGCCAATTTACCCTTGCAGTTTGCAGTTACATTATGAAATCGATAGGAAATCGATCTTAACAAAGACAAAAATGAAGTAATTTCAGTTTGGAACACTTTTCAGTGCTTATTTTTATTAGGTTAATAAATCAATTTAAATAAATCAATTTACAAAATGTAAAAATTTTGTTTGATAATTTTTAGGAAAATCAAAAAAATAAAAATGCTGTAACTCAGCCAAAAATGCTTTAAATTCCATTCGGAAAGTGTTTTTGTGTTAGTTTTAATATGCTTAACAAATCTGCATACTCCTTTTTTATTATTTAAAAATTCAATTTTTAGCCAATTTTCGAGAATTTTAATGATGTAACCCCTTATCAAATTTTCAAAAAATGGCTCGAAAAAAAATTTTGCCCGGACATGTCTTAAAAGATTCGCCTGTTAATGCTGATCAAGAATATATATGGTTTATGGGGTCGGAAATAGATGCTTCACCGAAAAAAATTATAAATACCCCTTAAGAATACCCAAAATATTTAATTTTTTTAAATGGTTATTTATCTATTATTTGATATCAAGAATTTTTGGACAAATAAATGTTTTAAAATATTTTAACCATAAAAAAGCATCAAATTGATTTCGGATATTGTTTTTTGTTAGTTTTAATAGGATTTATAAATCTGCATACTACATTTAAGGTTTTTTCTAACTTCATTTTTGGCCAAATTTTTAAAAACATAAAATTTAAAAAAAGGTTCAAATTTTTAGGGAAAGTTCTAATTTTAAAAAACTGTAACTCAGTTAAAGATGTCTTTAATTCAATTCGGAAAGCTGTTTTGGGTTAGACTTTAAAAGGTTAATCAAACTGCTTACCAAATTTAATTTAAATGTTTACTTATATTTTTATATAATTTTTTTAAAGAAACATAATTAAAAAAATTGGGAAAAATCGAAATTTCAAACATCTATAACTCAGCCAAAAATCCTGTAAATTCAATTTGGAAAGCGTTTTTGTGTTAGTTTTTATACGTTTAACAAATCTGCATAATCCATTTTAGTTTTTTAAAAATTCAATTTTTAGCCAATTTTCGAGAATTTTAATTATCAAATTTTTGAAAAACGGCTCAAAAAAAATTTCGCCCGGACATGTCTTAAAAGATTCGCCTGTTAATGCTGATCAAGAATATATATGATTTATGGGGTCGGAAATGGCTGCTTCACTGTTTTTTAAGCTTTTGACTTAAATTATAATATAAATTAATATATTATTATAATATTAATATTATAATAGTAAAAAGAGTGGCAAACAGTGAGGAAGCCATTTATGACCCTATAAACCATATATATTTATATAATATAATAAAGATAATAATAAAAGTAGAAGCAGATCTGGCTGGGATTAGGATTATCGTTGGGCTAAGCAATCTCTCAATGGGTTAAGGATTCTACAAGGCTATAACTATGTTTTATTTTTAGTTTTTCTAATTAAATTCTGTTAAAATATGAAATGGTTTCGTTTTAGTTTGCTATAAAATTATAAAATGTTAATATTATAATAATATATAACATAAAACATATATAATATATTTAATATATATAATATATATAATATATAATATATCCTTACATACTACTTTCTACGGTACAGGCAATACTTACAAACAAATGATGGCTCTCCTTTTTCTACGCAAGCATTTCAAAAATGTAATGTTTTTTTTAATGATTTTTGGAAAAGATTTTTTGGTCATTTTATAGAACCAAGCCACCAAAGAGTAATCGAAGATAATATATAGGAGAGAGAGAGAGAGAGAAGATATACGGAGACATCAAGGTAAGTATATCGAATCCAAAACCAAATTATAAATTTTTAAACCAAGACTTACCTCGCTTCTTGGCCTCTATCAAGTAGCCCAGAATGGGCCCCCGACCCGAGGGTCCATTGATCCAGTGCATCTCGACGCTGGAGAGCGTCTTGGTTAAGATGAGATCTCGCGGCGCCACCGGAGAACCGTCCTGGGGTCCCGTGGTCACATTCTCACTTATGCCAGGACCATAGTCCACGGTGGTCTGGGCGCGCACAGTGAACGTGTAGGTGACCTCCTCCTCTAGATTCTGGACACGAAGTGTGGTATTGGATACCTTTTGCTTCACCTGTTTGCTGAATTCTGATTGGGATAATTAAGAAAAAAGATTATTGTTAATTAATTAATTTATTATAAGTATTAAATTATATTAATAAATTAAAATAATTAATAAATTATAATTCATAAATTTTAAAAATTAATAAAATATATTTTAAAATTTTAATAATTAATAAATGATAATTAAAAAATTTTAATAATTAATAAATTTTAATAATAAATACATTTTAAGAATTAATAAAATATATAAATACATTTTAAGAATTAATAAAATATATTCATAAATTATAATTCATTTAATTTTAAATCAATTAAATAAATCAATGTCTCAAAAATCCTACTCACTCTCATTCTCCTCGGTGGTCTCGTAGGTCACCAGGTAACCCAGAATCTCGCCATTCAGGAACTTGGGCGCATCCCAGGACACCTCCAGGCTCTGCATTGTTATGTCCGCAAATCGTAGATTCAAAGGAGCACTTGGCACACCCGGCAGCGTCTTCACCGTGATGGGAGCTGACCTCGGTCCATCCCCGGCGGGATTAAAGGCCAACAACTGTATCCTGTACTCGGTGAACTTGTCCAGGAACACCAGACTGTGCGATGTAGCCGTGGCCGACACCACCTCAATCTCCTCCTCCCATTTCCGGCCAGGCTCCAGAGCCTGCGGCGAGTAGGTCACCAGATAGAAGATCTTGTAGCCCAGGATATCACCATTCTGCATGCTCTGCTTCGGTGGCTTCCACAGCAATCTCACTTCTGTGCTGGAAATGGGTGCAGCATCCACGGCACGAGGTTCACCCGTGGGCACTGCCTCGCCCACATAAACCGCTGCTGGGGGCGTGGCTGGTCCCGGACCCTGGGAATTGAAGGGCAGAACCACAATCTCATAATTGCGATCTTGCTGGAGATCTGAGAGCACCACACTGTTCTCATTGATCCCATGGACATCCGTTTTGGGGGTGGATTGCAGGGCTGTGGGAAAATCGGAGAGCTGCTGATAGAGTATCCTGTAGCCACCGGTGGCTGCATCTCCATTCCACATGCCCGTCTCCAGGGCACTCCATTGCACACGCACCGAGGTGGTGGTTATGGGCACTACTTTCAGGCCACCCACTCCCACTGCCGGAGCGGCTGGCAGAGTCCTCACCACCACACTTTCCCTGCTGAAAGCCGAAGGTCCCAGGTCATTGGTGGCCTGGATGCGAAATTGGTAGGTGGTGTGTGGCCTGAGACCCAGAGCTGTGTAGGAACTGAGCAGAGGATCCACTCTCTCTGGGAGGGGTTGCCATCTTCCTTCGTTCTCACGCATCTCCACGGTGTAGTAGCGCAGCGGAGCGAAGCCATCTCTTCCTGGTGTCCAGTTGAAGGTGATCTGGTGTGCCTGAATCTGGCTGCGCGAAACCTGCGGCACTGAGGGCGGCTGTGGACGCTCTCTGTTGTTGGTGGTATAAACCAAAGCCGTGGCCGTCTTGCCCCAGCCAAGCCGCGTCTGTGCCGTCACACTGAAGCTGTAGTACTTCTCTGGCAGCAGACTGGTGGCCCGGAAAGTGCGATCCGAGGGTGGAAACTCTCGACTATAGTTGAGCATGGCACTGCCATTGAGGGTATAGGTGACCTGATAGGCCAGAATCTCACCATTTGGATCAACGGGCACATCCCAAATGATCCTGGCCATCGAGAGAGTCACATCCGGGAAGCTCACATTGGAAGGCACTCCAGGGGTATCCTCAAAGGTCTGGACTCTTATGGGTGGCGTGCTCAAAGCACCATTGCCCAACCTGGTGTAGGCCAGCACCTGGACATGGTAGACCACAAATTTCTTGAGTTCCGTCAGCGTTGTGGTGAACGAGGCATTGCTGGGTATTGTCTTGTGCAGCACCTGCTGTCCTCGGTCGGCGGCCGCATAGAAAACCTTGTAGCCATCGATCTGACCATTGCGATGCTGACGCGGCACTTCGCCCCAACGAACCACCACCGTGGTGGAGGAGGTGGCATTCGCCTGGACATCCAAGGGTCCATAGCTGGGCGTGGCCTCGCGTGTCCTCTCCACCGCCGTGCCACTCTCCTTGGAGCAACCCACATCGTTGCAGGCATTCATTTGCACCTCGTAGACGGTCCACTCTTCGAGTCCCTCTAGCACATGCGAGTTGGCCGTGTGATCTTCGATTACCACCGAGCGTGGCACACCCTTGATGGTGCCTGGTGTCTTCTCCAGCTGCTTGTACGAGATATTGTAGCCTCGTGGGTTGCCATACCATTCGGTCTGCTGCAGGGGTATCCAGCGTACTCGCAGCTGCTGGGCACTCATTGCCCGCACGGTGACATTGAAGGGCGCATGCCTGGGCCTGGCCTGAATGGTCTGGAAATCTTTGGTGGCCTCCGAGGGTCGCGAACTGCCCACCACATTGGTGGCACTCAAACGCAGGCGGTACTGGGTGAAGGGCATCAATCCAGTCACCGTCAGGGTCTCCGCATCTGGATCACTAATCTCACAAATGGTAAACCAAGTCATATTCCTGGCCGTCTGACCCTCCACCTTCCACTTGGTGATGCTGGAGTTGCCATCGAAGCCGGGCGTAAACTGCAGCACCACGGAGAAGGCCTCGATGTTGGACAGAGCCAGATTGGTGGGTGCATGCGGCAGGACAGGCTCCACGCCAGACTGTATAGTTGCCGTTTTGGGTGTGCCACTGCCCACCCGAGTCCAGGCAAAGATCTCAAACCAATAGTGGGTGGTGGCCTGCAACTGATTCACCGTCAACTCCGTGTCCTCGGCTGTGAGATTGAATGTCTTGAGGGTGTCTGGATGATCCTTGACCTGGTAGCGTACCGTATAGCCTGTGAGTATGCCATTGGCGGAGCGTGGCGGTGCCCAGAGCACTTTCACCGAACGATCGGAGACATCGTCAAAATGCAGGGCTGTGACTTCGTCGGGTACATCGTCTAGAGTCATCACTGGCACTTGAATGCTGGCCACTCCATCGCCGGGATCCGTAAAGCAAAGCACACTGATGTTGTACTCGGTGAACTTTTCCAGGCCACCCAATATGGTGGTTTGCTCTGCCAGGGGATCTATCAGGCTGGGGGGCACCGTCATCATGCGTTTCTCAAAATCTCGCCACTCTCCGTCGACGAGGCGACTCTGCCAGGCTTGAATCTTGTAGCCCTGATTGATGCCATTGATCTGCTGGGGATTGGGCGGTGTCCAGCTGCATCGAGCAGCCGTCGAGTTGATGGCTTCTACTTTGACATTGGTGGGCGGGGCTTCGGGTACTCCTTCCTTGGTCTTGATCTTGGAGCCTTCCGTGTAAACTCCCACGCCCATGTTGTTGTAGGCTGCAATTTGAACTATATAATCCTTCCAGGTGATCAGTTCTTGGATGAGAAAGTTGCGTTGAGCCTCGTTGGTGATGTTCTGATACGACCAGGGCACATTGTTGTAGCCAAAGAGGCGGTAACGAAGGATGTAGCCCAGGATCTGGCCATTGCGATGCTCTTCTAGGGGCGGTTGCCATTGGCTTATGATCTCGGACATGGAGCGAGCGGAGCCCACAAAGCCCACTGGCGGACCCGAGGGAGCTACAGGGAGGGTTTAGAGATAAGATTTTTATTAGAAATTTGGTGCAAGTGGGACTTTTAAGGGAGAGTCTGTACTTCTCTCTGGGTTTTTGGGTTTCTTTTTTTAATATTTTTTATATTTTATATATTTTTTATATTGTGTGTGATTGGGGGCAGTAGAATTTTAAGAGGTTTGTGATTTTTAAAGGGGGACTAATATTTATACCTCGGTGAAGCGGAAACTCTACGCGCGTTTTTGTTCATTTCACAAAGCGGCGACCAACGGCGATTTCAAATTTCATTTTCGTGACGACAACGATAGCAGTTAAGAGTACAATACATACAGGGTATTTAGCATTAGTTTCTTTTTTACACTATACAGGACTATTAATGGAGATATAAATAGAGATTTTACTTTACTTTAAGGAATATTTGTGAACTAGAAATCAAGTTAAGTCTTTGAAATAAATTGAATAACTCAAAATAAATCTAAAGCTTTGAATAATAAGCCAAAAGCCTTAATAGATTTTGAGTATATCAAAGATTTGGTTGAAAACTATTATAAACAAAATAAAAAACAAGGTTTAGATCTTTAAAAAACTTCTTCAAAGACAGTTCTTGGATTTTTCTATTTGGCAAATGAAAATATTCACAAAAATATTCAAATAAATTTAAAACTCTATTCAAGAAAAAAAGAAAGTTGAGGCCTTCAAAAACTTGTACAAAAGCAAAAATACAAAGGGGAACTCCTGGATTTTGTATTTGTTTAAAACGGAAACTAAAATATTCACAAAATCACATAGTATTCAAATAAATTCAAAACTCAATCTAGGAAAAAAGCTGGTTTAGGCCTTTAAAATATTTATACAAAATCTAAAATTTAAAGGCAATGCTTGTGGTTTTCTATTTCAAATAAAAATATTCACAAGATATTCAAAATATTCAGAAAAATAAATCAAATAAAATACAAATTCAACTCAGTAAAAGCAACAAACACACACACAATACAATACAATACTAAAACACATAATGAGGAGCTACAAACATTACTACAAGCGTATAGCCAGGTTATGTACTCACCTTCCTGGGGCAGCTCGACGACATTACTGGGCTCAGAGGGCGAACCCTCGCCCACACGATTCACGGCACTAACCCGAAACTGGTAAACGGTGGCGGCTTTGAGGTTTTCGAGGAGTATCCAACGCTGATCCGCTGAGACATTGCTCAGTTCGGTGATCCAGTTGAGCAGAGGGTCTGGAACTGGACCTACGAATTTTTCTGTGATGTTAATGTGTTGGAAAAAACAGCAGACGGGGTGGGGGAGGGGGGTGAGTGGGAAATAGGATGATAGTGCGGAATGTGTGATTACAAAATTACGAGTGTAAGTGAGATTTTGGTGAGTTGTTGGTGGGTGTTGTTGGTGAATTTATGGTGAAAAGTATATATTAATAGTGGTGAATGTTGGTCAACAAAATAATAGTATTGATTTGTTGTTGAAAAGTTTACAATATTGGTGAATGGTGGGTGAAAAGTTTACAATATTGGTGAATGGTGGGTAAAAAGTTTACAATAGTGGTGGAGTTTTTGGTGTTTTAGTGTGTAGATTATACAGCGTGTTCCGTGTTGGTGATGGTTGATGTAAACGCGATGAAATCAAAAGTACAAAACAACAAATTACAAATTGAAAATTAGTCAATACACAAAAGATGTCATCATTAATATATAATGCAATGTATATATATATATAAAATACAATTAATATATAAATTTACAATACGTAACGGTACGGTTCGTTTTGATCCAGTTTTGGTATTGTTGTTGTTGGTGTGTTTTTTAAAAAAAAATTGTAAATTAAATGGAAGAAAAGAGAGAATAAAGAGAGAACAAAAAAGAAACGCATCAAAATATATTGGCTTTCTTTGTGGTTGTGTCTGTGTGTCTGTATTATAAGTGCCTAACAGGAATGTAAACCCCAAAATATATATATTTTTATTTCTTAGCTTCTCCAACTCTACTTATTCAGTTTCTAAAATGTATATTGAAATCAGAATGCTTCAAATTGAAAGTATTTTATAAAAAAATTAACCAAAATCTGCCTGGTAATTTGATATTAACCATATCAGAGTCTCTAAAAGAAACCCTTACGACTCTTTTAATTTGAATTAACTTTAAATTTCTCTTCGATTTCTTTAGGTCTTTCAAGTTTTGTAATTCAAGTTCTTTATAAAACCCTTTCTTAATTTTTTTAAAGGCCAACCGTGTATAACTTCCACCCTGTGCTACCCCCTTTGAATAAATCATAAATCCAGTATAAACCAAAACCACCGCAACCCACAAACTACGCTACCAAAAAATATTATATGTAGTATATGTAGTGCCAGCTAGCCAGCAGATAAAAGTAACCAGGAACAAGAGTAACTTACCCAATTCGGAGACCTCACGTCGCTGGATAATAAATTTGGATATTGGACTGTTGCCATCGAATCCCGGCGTCCAGGATACATTGATGCTACGCTGCTGCGGCTCCGGCAAACGTTGCACCTTCACATTGCTTGGCGGAAACGGCAGCTCGATGACACTGAGCCGGGCTGCTCGCGTCTCATTGCCTCCCGGCGAGGTGACCACACACGCATAGCTACCAACATCGCTGGCCCGCACTGCCTGGATCTCCAGTTGGCCATCGGCCTGGACACCGACCCGCTGGGAGTTGCTGATGGGCGATGCCTGGCCCTGGCGGTACCAGTCAATGTTGTACGGGACACTGGGATCGCTGGACACCTTGCATTGCAGGGTGGCCGTTAACCCGAGCAGCACCGTTGTGTCCACCGGCGGCTGGATGATTTGTGTCCGCACTGCGGGGAAAAGAAAAGCGGAAATGGAAAATAAGAAAAAAAATATAATACCAAAAAAGAGAGAGAGAGAGGGAGATCTGGATGATGGGGGAAACACATTAACAACACGGCAATGCGGATTAAACGAGCGTGGCCAGCGACCGCAAGTCGTGGCAATGACAAGTCGCGACAGCCGCCTCTCCTGCCGCCTGCCTGGCATCTGCCCCGCCCACTTTTATTGCCCTCCATTTCCCCACAGACAAGGCCCGCCTCAGCTTTCCACAGCCAGTGCTTCACTCTTAACCCGAAGGGAGGGCACTGCGGGAAGGTGGAAAATGAAGTTTAAAGCCCCAAAACTGACACACGAGGCCCGTATGTTGGTGCCCTGTTACCCTGGGATGGCACAGATTAAGGGGTATGCTTACTATATGGATATAAGGAGGGATTATTGAAGGTACTTGGGGAAAAGTACCTAAAATTGTAAGCTGTATTCATGCATGTATAATAATAATTTAGAGAAGTTAGGGAATGTTTTATAATATTTATAAAAACACAGCATTCCATAAGAGGCACATTCAGAAATTAAGATTAGATATAGATCGGTATATATAAAGAACATTAGATGGTCCTCTTCCTTATACTTAAACTTATTTATTTTTTATTATTAAATATTTATGATTTTTTATAATTAATATTTATTTATATTTTTGTAATATTTTTAAATTGATTTTTGTTTAAATTTTTTTATTATTTTTAATTTTTTTTATTATTTATAATTAATTTTTATTTATAATTTATTTTTATGTGTAATTCTGTAGAATTTTTAATTTGTTTATATTTATTATTCATTATTATTTACAATTTTGTGGTATTTAGAATTTATTTTTACAAATGAATTAATTTTATTTATAGTTTTATCATATTCTTTTATTGTTTATAATTTATTATCATTTATATATTATTGAAAATATCATAAAATTTATATATTACTTTCCTATTATTTTATTTATTATTCATAACTTATTGATAATATCAAAAGAGTTAATTTATTTTTTTTTTTATCAATATTAATATTTTTATGATTTTTTAAAAATATTTTTAAATTTAAACGGTATAAAATTATCGATTTTAATTTCAATATATCAATATTATCTAATAATGTCTCGCTTTTTGTTTAAATTGCTTCGAAATATAATACAAAATATATATTTATCACAAATGTGTAGATAGCAACATTAAAATATTAATTTATAAACCCAATTTCTTATTGAATAACGATTCTGTATCGATATATCACTATTTTCTAGCATCCCTTTAATCTCAACCCCATTTCCTATCGATTTATCCCAACCAACCTTGGCTTCAAATACCAATAAATTATCGATAAACCAATATGTTCGGTTTTTCAAGTCAAAAGGAAATTTTGAAAACTTAGTTTGTCAAAAATCCCTGGTCTGAATCTCACGTTGAAAACGAAAACCTAACCTAAAATGTTTTGCAAATCCCACCTTGCGGCTGCCTCAGGTGTCCTGCTGTTTCTCCTGGCCGCAGCATTGGCAGAGCCACCACCACCAACAACACCAGAGCAGACAGACCTGCTGCAGCCTGCTGGCCAGCTCATTAACCTGGACGAGGACAATTGGCACCTGATGCTCCAGGGCGAGTGGATGATCGGATTCTTTGCTCCATGGTGTGCGGCCTGCAAGGATATGGCTGCCCAATGGAGGCAATTTGCTCACGTGGCCATTGGTGTCAACGTTCAGGTGGCCAAAGTGGATGTCAGTACCTCACCTTCGCTTGCCGCTCGCTTCTTGGTCACCACTTTGCCCACGATCTATCATGTCAAGGATTACGAGTTCCGGCAGTATCGCGGTGGAAGATACGAGGCTGCTCTGCTCCACTTTGTGAAGAAGGAGCTGTGGAAGAGCATCGAACCGGTGGCTACCTGGAGGAAACCCAACACCTTTCACATGTCCATTTTGTTCTATTTGAGTAAGCTGTCCCACATAGTGAATGGCTTTATGGGGCGCCTGCAGGAGCACGGTCTGCCCATATGGGGATCCTATAGCGTTATAGTCATGGCCACCATATTCGTGGGAATGAGTCTGCGCCTGCTTGGGGAGTTTATATATCCACCCATAAATTCACTGCGAAAGAGGTTATCCGGGACACAAGTGAATCTTGTCAAGGAATTGGAGGATATGGAAACTGAGGAGATGGAGGATGATGGTAAAGCCGATGAGAAGGATCAAAATGATCAGCAGGATAGCGAGGAGGAAGGGGAAGCGGAGGAGGAAGGGGAAGCGGAGGAGGAGGAGGACGAGGAGGAGGAGGAGGAGGAGGAGGGAGGAGGAGGAGGGAGGAGGAGGAGGAGGAGGAGGAATGGGAAGAGGAGGAGAAAGAGGTGGAGGAAGAGGAGGAGGTGGAGGAAGAAGAGGAGCAGGAGGAGGAGGAAGAGGAGGAGGAGGAGGAGGAGGAGGAGGAGGAGGAGGAGGAGGAGGAGGAGGAGAAGGAAGAAGACAAAGACATGAAAGATAAAAAGGAAAAGACAAAGAAAATCGAACAGCAAGCTAGTGTTTCACTTTTACAGAAAATGGAAGCCGGCAATTCTTCCGGAAAAGACACAACTGGTCGGAGATTTTCCGTTTGAAAAACCAGAAAAAAAAACTGAAGAGGTGTGCCAGGACCACAAGGGCGACCTAAAAGCATTCCTGTAACTTCTTAAGGATTAGCCTAAGCGATCAGTTGTAGCCACAAAAACACTAAAATATACAATCAAATAAAGACAAATAAAGCCTCATCTTTTCCCCCAAAAATACCCAAACTTCCCATTAACTTCAAACCTATTCCTGTTACAGGGTATCCCATGGTCTCTTTCTGGGGGGGACAGTGCATTCGGGCATCGTTTGTTCTCTTTTATGTATGGCTTTCTCTTTTGATTTTATTTATTTTATGCCTTCTTTTCTTTGCTTTCCTTTTGCAGCCGCACAAGCTTTTCTTTTTTTCTTGATTCTCTTTTTTTTGTACTTCCTTTTTTTTTAGCCCTTTTCAGTCACTTGGCCCGCATGCATCAAAAGTTCAACGCGCCCCGTGGCCCAGACATTGGTGGTGCCTCTGGGCGGCTCCTCACTTGTTGTCCTGGTTGTTGCCGACGGTGTCGGTCTGTTTGCCATAAGCCAAGTTCCTAGAGTTCAGTTCGGGTGTTCCCCATATGGGTACTGCACGGATGGACTCTTCTAGACGAGATGAACTGCATGGCATGGCATGGCATGGCACTGCACTGCACTGCCCTGAAAGGTCCACAAATGAACCTTGTTTATCCCCTCTCGCGTTCACCAAAATGTGCGGTAACTGGCGGGGTTAATACCCTAGCAAAGCTTACGCTCTGGGGGGGTTTATTTTTACTAGGAAGACTATTTTAAATTTTAAATGAATTCTTTTAAGAGTCTAAATTAATTATATTTTATTATAAAAAAAAATGGTAAAAAGTCTTGTAATTATTAGAGCTGTAAATAATATTAATTTTATATATTTTTATATTTGATTAAACGATTTTTTGCAATTAGGGAATACTTATAAATAAATTTTCTATATAGATTTAATTGAACAAATTTTAAATAAATTTTGATAAGCCATTTAAATAATTTAAATAAGTTTTAACAAAATTTGTAGAATTGAATTTATTGAAAATTAAAACATTTTCCAGAAAAGTTCAGTAAAAAAGTTAAATATTTTTTATTTATATTTTATATATTCAATTTTAATTTTTACCCTTCTTAAAAAAATCTTAATTTGTGGAATTTGAAATACCGAAAACTTTGTGAAATTTCTACTTTTTCCAATTAATTTAAAGGTTCCATGTTATTTTACAACCAAAGGGTATTTCTTACTTCGACCCTTAATTCTTAGTTCCTTTTCATTTTTATTTCTTTGCCAGTCTTGGGCCCCTGTGTTTTATGCAACAAACACAAATAAGGTGGGGCGGGGAGGAAGAGGGGCTTTGCCGCGGTCCTGATGGGTTAAGGGTGATGGAAAACTGCCATCATTTTGGTGGCCAAAGTCCGGACTGGTACCCGGAGTGGTGTGGAGTCTGCAGTCCGCGGGACGCATTCCACATTCCTGAGCAGCAGCAGCAGCGGCGGCAGCGGCGTTTTGCCAATTAGCCGCACATTGATGCTGCCTTTTAGGAGCCCGCACACACACCACACACATACAGGACACCCACTGCAATCACACACACACACACACACACTCAGAGTGAGGACCGAAAAATATTGCATGTGCAAATCAACTTTAATTACACAAACAACACAATGGCAATGGTGGAGGGGAGGCAGCAGCAGCAACAACAACAAAAACCCTTAAAAAATCATTTGAAGCTCTCGGATTTTCCGGTTTTCCGGCCATGTTTTCACTGGTCGGAAAAAAGTCAAAGCCATATACCTACATACATATAACATAGAGACACGAGCGTGTGTGTTTGTGCTGTGGAAATGTATGGCTGGATTTTTGTATTATCACAAAAGCAATAGACGCTGAGGGAGAGCACTCCTAAAATGGAACTCTCATCATCCTGGCCTGGCTTTGGGCCATGTTGTCCTGTTGTGGCCACTGCGGCTTTGATGACATACATTATTATTATTGGACCATGCATTTTAGTTGATTTGATGCGACGTTGGGAGCGAACACTAAACGCACAAATAACTAGATATACCAATACCTAGATAATACACGGTAAAAAATAAAGTTGATTGTGATTACTACTGATTATTACTGAGATGTAATTTCTAAAATTTTGAATTGGGTTCAAAATGCAATAGAGAATTTTAAATATTGATTGAAAAAGGGAATAAATAATAATAAATAAAATAATGTTTTAAACATTTTTCAAAATCGATTTTTAAGGCGATATATTTCGATATTTAAAACTTCGATATGTCCAAGTTTATGATATTTTCCATGTGCAATATTTTATCTCTTATATAAATACATCCCTAAAATAAATACATCCATAAAAAAAACAAGAAAGGAAGCTAACTTAGGAAGCCGAAATTTGAATACCCTTGCCATTTGAGCAGAGGATCGAATTTTAAAAATATCATAACTATTTAAAAAATGCATTGATTTCAAATCGGAAAACAGTTTTGTGTTAGTTTTACTTAGGCTAACAAATCTACTTACTAAATTTAATATTAAAAAAATTAAATTTTTTTGTTTTTTTTTTACAATTTTAACGATGTTACCCCTTACAAAATTTTGCAAAAATTTGAAAACTTGTTTTTTCCACCAAACATGGCTAGATCGACTGGGTTTTTTGTGCTGATAAAGAATATATATGATTTATGGGGTCAGAAATGGCTTCTTCAATGAGAAAAATCATAATTACCCTTCAAGAAGACCTGAAAAATTCGATTTCCTTAAACTGATATTTATCGATATTTTTTGGGACAAATAGTAATCTTAAAAAAAACCCACAACTATGCCAAAAAAGCATTAAAGTCAATTTGGAAAGCTTTTCTTTGCTAGTTTTTTTTTCAACTAAATTTTTCCCCAGTAAACACAAATCAAACATAATTTTTTTTCGGTGCACCAAAACGTCATTGGCAATCATTTGAATGCCAGCGAGGCTCGCACTCGCAGATATCTCTCCTGGAAAAACAGGTGCACAAACAACTGTCTCTCTAATAGGAAGCATTTTTGGTAAGTAAACTCAATTTAAATCTCTTTTGTGGTTACAGAAGAGTTTTCTCAGGGGGGGCAGCGGGGTTCGAAAAAAGCAATGAAAACTGCTGACAGCATTTCAGTAACAGTCGCAGGCAGGATGTGCCAACATCAAAGCTCTGCGATTGAACAATTGATGCGGGGGGATGGACGGCGAGAGAGAGAGAGCCAGAGATAGGAGGACTGCCAAAAGGACCAAAAGAATAAGAAATAAAGAATTATTTGCCGCAAGTTAAATGCTCTCAGCGAGAGAGAGAGAGAGAAAGAGCAATGGGAAAGGTTTAATTCTATTAAACGAAAGCCTCACGGCATATTTTTAGGATTTTGAGCAAGTATTTTAGATGCCTTTTTTCTTGCTTTAACAAAATATTCGAACAAAAAATAAACAAGAGAGACTTGAAATTACTTGAAAAGCTGCCAGGAAAAGTGCATCAAGGATTTGCTTTAAGAGAATTCACTTAAATTTCTAAGAAATTAAATATATATGTGCTAAAAAGTTTCTTTCTTGAACACAAAATCTTTCTTAAAGATAAGTTTTAAATGGGTTTTTAATCTGTAGACTTGAAATCAACTTAAAAGCAAACTAAAAATAAGCTAGTAAAAGTTTAGGAAGGCTTTGCTCTAAATTTAAGTCAAATTTTAAACTTTTAAGCAGCTATTAAAACAGGTTTAGGCACTTAAAATATTTCTAATAATTTAATTTCAATGAACTACCCAAAGGTTTAACTATTTTACAACTACAACATTTTAAATAATTTTTTATAAATAATTTTTAATAATTTTTAAAAGGTTTTTAGACTTGAAATTTAAATTTAAAGGCTGTCTAAAAATAGTTAAAAAAAAAAAATAAGTTCAGTAAGAGACATTGTTTCAATTTAAATTAATAATTTTATAACTTAAAGCAGCTTTTTTATCATTTTCAAGCACCTAAAATATTTTTTAAAATTCAATTTCAATTAATTACCAAAAGCTTAAACTATTTTACTAAATACAAAACTGGAAAAACCCTTTAAACAAGCAAAAGGGCACCAAAACTTAACATGCTTTAAGCCATTTAAATGTTTATTAATACGAGTTAAAAGCTGCGGGTCCCCCCGCCCTCCTGCTTGTCTAGTAAAATGCTGCAAAAAGGGGCGAAAATGGTGCATAAAAAACGAGTTAAAACAGTTAGCTGCGAGAAGGGCAGAGTAGCTCAACCCTCGTTAGCCACGCTAACTAACTAAACGCTAAAACACTCAAAGCGGCCGACTAGACAGACGCACTTGAAACTAACACAGACGCGAGCGGAGGCAATTACAGTTTTTTCGGGGGGGGGGAGTTTAGAAGCGGCTTTTTTTTTGTTTGCCTTGGGGTTAGAGTAACGGTTAAGGGTTACAGGGGGAGAGGGGAGGAGACTCACCTAGGACACTTAGATAGGCCTCGCCCTTGACGCTGCCCGCCTCGTTGGCCCGCACACAAATGTAGAGGCCGGCATCCGAGGAGCGTATGTTCGAGATGAGCAAATCGCCCGATTCGAGTATCTGCACCCGGCTGGATATCTCCACCAGTTGGGTCTCTGTTTGTTCGGGTTGTTCCAGGAGCAATCGATGGTTGAGGTGTTGGGTTGTTTTGGGTGGTTATGTTTTTGGTGCACGATGCGGATACGGATACGGATACAAGCAGTTTTCGATGTGTTAGCATTACGAGTTGCGTTGGTTAGGACGAGCAAACGGAGAAAGAGAACAACATTTTGGGATTAGCATTAATATATATTTTGTAATATTTTAATACTATTTTTTTAAATTATAATATTATTTTTAATATTTATTTAAAATATTATTAATATTATTTTTAATACTTCTTTTAAATATTTATTTGTTATATTTATTTTTAATAATTATTTTTAATATTTATTTTGAATATTATTTTTGAATATTTATTTGTTATATTTATTTTTAATAATTATTTTTAATATTTATTTTTAATATTTATTTTTAATATTTATGTTTCCTATTTTTTTTACTATTTATTTAAAATATATTAATTCTTGATATTTGTTTTTAATATTATTTTTAAAATTTATTTTTAATATTTTTTTGAATATTTATTTGTTATATTTATTTTTAATATTTATTTTTAATATTTATTTTTAATAATTATTTTTAATATTTATTTTTAATATTATATTTAAGTGTCATGCTTAAGGTTTTGCTTTTCAAAACTCACCATTATATATCCAGGTTATATTCGGATTTGGGGAACCCACAGCCCGGCAGGATATGGTGGCATCCTTGCCATCCAGGGCGGTGACATTCTGGGGAGGCTGTTCTAGCACAGGAGCCGAGGCTAAAGAAATTACAAAGAAATTATAATTAGATTACAATTACAATTACAATAAACAATTAATTTAATTTAATTGAAATTCTTGGAAAATATCTTTGTACGTTTTAGGCTAAAAATTAACTCAATTAGTGGTTAGTTGAAAAGAATGGGTTGTGGGGGAGTGAAGGACTCTCTAAGTTAATAAAATGTATGAGCCTGAAATAAAAAATTAAATTCTAACTTGTGCTGGATTTTTACTGGATTTTATGTTTTCTGTGCAAAATGTGTGTTTTTTTATCTGTTGTTGTTGTAGTAGTAGTAGTTGTAATTGTTGTTGTTGTTGTTGTAATTGTTGTTGTAGTAGTAGTTGCTGTTGTTGAAGTTGTAGTAGTTGAAGCAGTAGCAGTAGCTGTTGTTTGTGTTGTTGTTGTTGTTGAAGTTGTAATTGTTGTTGCTGTGGTTGTAGTTGTTATTTTTGTTTGTTGTGTTGAATATTAAATATTTTATATTTACATATGTAAGCCTAGTTGCTGCAAGTCTACCTTTTAAATAATTCACTATACTAAAATCATGATAAATACGTGACAATTATTTGTACCATAAAAAACGTGGAGATATCAAATATGTAAAGCAAAGGGAATTTAAGGGAATTATTGTTACAAAAGTTTTATACATAGGTAGTTATTATTCTCTTTTTTTGTTAGAGGGGACTTTTATTTAAGCTTTGATTTAATTTCAACAGCAGCAGCAGCAGACATGGCCAGAATTTAATTAAATTATTTGCGTAACGATTGATAATTCCTTAATCACTTCTCTTCTCTGCTGATTCCTTTAAATTCCCTGTAATTGATTCCCTTTTTAATATATTTTTTTTTGTGTCCCTTTCCCTGATTAACTCAACCCCATTGTTTCGGTTCTCGATTTCTCAGTTCTTTTTCTGTTTTCATTGTGTGCTGACTTTTGCAATTATGATTACACCAAATTAAAGGCTGGCCAATTAATCACGCTGGGGCTCTGCAGCAGGTGCTTGTTGGCGTATACATATACTCTCTGTATATATATATATATGTATATATCTGGTTGATTCCTCAGCTCATTTTGGCCCCCGGTCTCTCGCTCTCTTGGCTGCCTCTGGTTAATGTGAATTATTTATTGGATTTTGAGTGGCACGATGGCTGCTTCTGCCCCTTCCCCTGTTGCTGCTGCTGCTTGTTTTCACTCGCGATATCGACGACGCGACACTGCCTCTGTTTTCATTGTTATGGCCAAATGCCACGCGTTTTAAGGGGCCTTGACACCTTGGCTAGCCACCAAAAAAAAAAAATATATATACACAGGTGATGAGTTAAAATCAATTTAAATTAACTTGATATGGTTAAGAGTTTGAAAAAAGGTTCAAAATATTTTTCTGGTGTCAAAAATTAATTTAAAAAATATAATTTAGCTTTTATTTTCGTTAAAAACTCATAGAATTATGATGTACAATTTTAATTTTAATATTATTTCCTTATAAATATAAGTCTAATAATTTTAATTAAAATTTTTTAATGGCTAAAACGATGTTAAAAATGTAGCTCATATTTCTATATTTATTAAAAATATTTATTATTTTTATGGATATCCATATTTATTCATAATATTTTATATTTCCTTGGAATTCGGTCTTTAAAAATATCAAAAAAATTATTGAAAAATTTCGTATAAATCTAATATTTATAAATTTTCCATACAAATACAATTTTAAAAGATTTTCTAAAATATTATTACCTAAAATATTAAATATTTCTGTAACTAAATTTTATCAAAAATTATTTAAAAAATTATAATTTTTTTATATATAATTTTATATTTTTTTTTATATCCATATAAATTCCAAATATTAAATAAAATCCTTGGATTTTTATATTTTAAACATTAAAATAAAGGTTTACAAAATTCTTTTAAAAATCAGTTTAAAATACATTCTATATAAATACGAGTTTAATGAATTTCAGAAATATTTGTAAACAAATTTTCACACACAGTTCCCCTTACCTATAGATGTCATAACCCCTTAAGACTGTAAAACTGTAAGACTGTAGCTAAAAGAGGCAGCTTTTCCGCTGTGTTTTTTCCTACTTGGGGCGCAAATGTAATAATATTCGTAATAATTTCGCATGATGAAGCATTCCCGTTAACTACGCTTATGTAAATAAGTGCATAAAATTACAATAAAAGACCCATTCTTCCAGTTTTTCCTCCCAGCTCCTTGCAACATTAAGATATTAAATGCGTTTGTGTGTGTGTGTTTGTATTGTGTATGTGTATGGTGTGTGTGTATGTTTACGGTGCAGTTGCAATTGTTGAGGAAATCATAAAGACATCAACTCTGCTTGATACGGGGGAAAATAAAAAGAAAAATAAAAAGGGAAAATCCAGTCATGCTTTCCAAGGGAAAACGCATATATGAAAAGGCAACTTTAAGTCGGGTTTAAATATGATTAACCCTGGTCGAGGGTCGAGCAGCAGCATCAGCAGTAACTTTATTTTGCGATATGCACTTAAAGGACAATTAAGCTGCTCGGCGATATTACATCACTTTTGGGGCTTAATTCCGTACCCGCCGGTCGTCGCCAGAAAAGGTATGAAAAATTTAACAGGCCAGAAAATGTATATATATAAATGTCTGTATGTGCATGTATATGCACGGTATATATCTGCACGAATAACTCCTTCTTTCAGCCAAAGGCAACGTGTTAAGTGTGCTTAAGCTGACCCCGTGGTCAGTAGCTCCTTTCTAGGCTCCTTTTTGGCCCGGTTTTTTTTATGGCTCACGCAAGGCGCATATTAAAGACACGAAAGGACGAAGGAGAGGAAAACAATTTGTGGCTGGATTCTCGCTAGGGAGACCTAAAAACCAAGAAAATCCCACAAAAAGCAGAGAGTGAAGAGTGGGCTTGAAAATGAAAACTTGCATCTATGCAAAAGGTTGGCGTATACGTAATATTAATATTAAGTATACGCCCTGGTTGAAGCTATACTAAGCACAAATCAAGAGGGCAAAACCTTAAGAACAAATTTATACCTAAGCTCCACAGTGCGTATACGTAATATGCAGCAAGCATACGTCGTGTGTGCACTTGGAGAAAGATATTTATATAATAATAATAAGCCTACAAAAATTTTAAATAATTTATAAAACCCCAAAGAACTTGATATTTTCTGTCAATGTTCTATCGTCAAGGCAACCATTGCCTTTGGGTCGTAATTAATTTCAAGTTGACCCACTAAAGAGGCCGCGCCATCAACTTACAGTCATAATAAAACGCTCACTCAGCCGGACAAGTGCCCCCCCTTGAAGGGGGCGAAAGCGCCTCACCCTCTGCCTTGGTAGGAAAGGAAGGCGGCCAATGGCGTGCGATGGCAATAATTGCCATTACTTGGCCATTTCAGAGGAGTCCAACATTTGCATGCGAATTGTTTTTAACCGTTGTATGCTTTTCTGTGGGTGTGGGTGTGTGTGTCGGACTCTAAATTTCCCCCTCACTTTTCTCAACTTTTTCCTTCTTAAACGGTTTTTCGTTTCAGTTATTCCCTCCTTGGCCCTTTTTTTTTCTTTATTTTTAATAAGCATAAAGAGAGCCGCTTTTCCGTGGCAACTTCCTGGGCCAACTCCTTTGAGCTAATGCTAAAGAATTTTTTTAATAGAGAGAAAGAGTGCTGGTAAGTTGGTGTTTGTAACACTAATCGGGTAAAGCTTTTCTTAGCCAAAGAAAATACATGATTAATACATGTTTTTGTTATAAATATTTGTAGAAAAAATATACAATTAAATTTTCTTTGGGATTACAGAATTTCAACTAAAAACTTCTGAAAAAAAACTCTGATTTTAAAAGAGAGAAGATTTTTGGTGACCCTCTTGAAGGAAGAAATGTGAAAAGGATCATCATTTTAAACCCAAGAAATGGCATTTTTACTGCCCGAATTTATACAGATTTTTAAATCATCATTTTCCAGCTTCTAAAACCTAAAAATACCTCAAAAAACAACAAGTTCTTGTAGAGTTTAATACCTAGAATTTATAAAGAATGTATAAATATTTTTTAAGGCACAATTTTCCAGCTTCCAAAACCTTAAAATACCTCAAAAAACAACAAGTTCTTGTAGAGTTTAATACCTAGAATTTATAAAGAATTTATAAAGTTTTTTAAGGCACAATTTTCCCGCTTCTAAAACCTGAAAAAAACCTAAAAAAGAAAACATTATGTGCCTGTAGAATTTTATATCCTTAAACCTAAAGAGATGGCATGTCGCTGGCCAATCAACTCGAAACTCCAAGGGCATTTAGCGTTTGGCTGCAATCAATCACCGTGGGCAATGTGGGGTTAAGCTTAAGGTGACCTCTGAACCTCCGCCCACCTGTTGGCTTACCTTTTTACTAAGCCAAACTTTTCACTTCACAAACACACACACCCACACAAAGAGAGAACACAAAATTCTCACAGTGGAAATGGCAGCACATTGAGTCGTCAGGGCAAAAGGAAATGGAAATGAAGAGGAAAAGGCAGGAAAGGCAGTGAAAGGAAGTGAATTTGGCCACGCCCAACCGCCCCCACAGTCACCTAATTACTCATACACACACACACACACACGTATAGTAGGGGTGCTAAGTGAGGGCACCAGGGCTTCCTTCCCCAGGAAGCGGCGATTAAAATCACTTTTGCGTTTCGGGAAATTACGAAATTATGTTACTCGAGTTGAGTTTTCGAAGGAAAAGCTCAGGCAGCCGGAAAATGCACAGCAGCAGCAGCAACAACAACAACAGCAACAGCCACAGCAAGTACTAGCCAAGTTTATAGCTATGCCAAGAGACTCCGAGACTGTGGCAGGTGGTGCTACCTTTGGTGGAAGTGAACGCAGATTTACGGCAACTTAACAAAAAAAAAAAAAAAAAATGAAGAGCTCCAAAAGGAGCTCCAGGAAAAGGCCAACAGCAAAAGATGTTAAAAACTTTGACAAACATCAGGAGGAGGCGTAGGAGCAGGAGGAGGCTGGCGCATTGCAATTAAAATGCAGCCAGGTTGCAATGGCAATCGCACAAACCCACTGAAGTCGACGCGCGCAAAAGCTGGAAAATAATTTTCCCAGCTCAACTTCTTCGCCTATCTAAGTGAAAAGTGCTCCTCCGGCACAAGGATTATCCTTCAAGTGGCCTATCAAGCGGAAAATAGAAAACGGGGTGATGGGTCGACGGAGGAGAATCAGCATTACAAATGCCAAACACTTGTTGCCATAGCAAGGTGTAAGGAGGAGGAGGAGGAGGAGGAGGAGGAGGTGGAAAAGCAGGAGGATCAGGAGGAGCAGGAGGAGGACCTACAGCAGGAGTAGAAACAGCAGCACCTGGAGATGAACGAGCGCACAAACAATAAACGAAAGAAATTGCAAAATGAAATCAAGCGAGTTCCAAGTGTCCAGGACTTGAGAAGCGCATAGAAAGGCGCTCTCTGGAGATTAGGGTGAACCATTAAGCTTTCTCTATAAATATTTTAATATTTTACCACAAATTAAAGCAATTAGCTACTTTTTATGTAACATAAAAATTTAGAAGCCTTAAGTCGCCAAGTTGAGAAGCGAGGAGAAAGGCGCTGTGTGAAAATTAGGGTGAACCAGTATACATTTTTTTATAATTTTTAAAATAGCCCGAAGGTAGATTTATAATACCACTAAAAAATCAACCACAAATTAAACCTATTAGTAGTAGTAAGTAGTCAATTTAAAAAGCTTTCTGTGAAGATTAGGGTGAACCAATTAACTTTTTGTAATAGCCTTTAGCTTAAAATTCAGCCGCAAATAAAGCCAATTAGCAGATTTATATTACAGAAAAATCCACAAGTTTTAAGTAGTCAACTTGAGAAGCGCGTAGAAGATTAGGGTGAACCAGTATACTTCTTTTAGACATTAAAAAAACCCAAGGAAACACCTAATTCTACTTAAAATTCAACCACAAAAAAAGGCAATTAGCCATTTTATATTACCGGAAAATCCACAAGTCTTAAGTAGTCACTTTAAAAAGAGCTCTGTGAAGATTAGAGTGAACCAATTATCTTTCTGTAAGAATTTTGTAAAAGCCTTCAGCTTAAAATTTAACCACAAATTCAACCAATTAGCAGAATTTCCCTTCAGTGTAAGCTTGAAGACAATGGCAAGGCATAAACTAAAATGATATTTAAATGATAAGTAGGAGACTCTGACCAAAGACTGTTGTTGAGTGCTAATTAGCTAAAGACCATATTATTTCAAGGGGTCTAAGCTAATTACGGTCCTTCTTACAACCCCAGCCTCTTCTTGAATGTATTTTATTCTCAACCTTTTGCCAGTTCCAAAGAGTAATCCTGTAAAAGTGTTGAACCGGATGTCCGGTTGGCTGCTGGTGGTGTGTTAATCGAATCAGAGATGGAAGTCAAAAAGCAAGCTAGCCAAAGGTGTTTATAATCCGATTCTAATCCTGATCTGGATAATCTTGGCATAGACCAATTACCGAGCCCTCGTACACCGCATACGGTTAGAGACCAAGTTAAAAGAGTGCCAGGACACACACACACACATGGGTATGAGGAGGGAAAAACAAAGCCGCTTAGGCCAAACTCCTACCCCAAGGATACCAGGGACTAAATGCATTTAGACAACAAAAACTGAACCCAGAGAACCAAGCAAGAGAAACAGAAACTTGTGCCAGCAATAAAACTTATCCCAGAGATACAGACACGTCCACGGGGGAGCGTGGAGGGACTATGGACAAGACAAGGGGCTATGAGAATTAGAGAGAGAGAGACTAAATGATGGGCCCCCCCGGTTTCAGAATCGTAAAATGCGCTGGGGCAGACAAACAAATTGACTCGAATTAGCCTAGGCAAATAAAATTAAATGAGCCGCAACGATTGGTTACCAGTCACTCATGCCAAGAAATCCAAAGAGAAAAAAATATACTACTATATACAATCCAGTATATATCGAAGCCAGCAGAAACTTGGCCCAAGTTAACTATAAAAGCTAAAAAGTTTTTCAATAAGCCGCCGACGACAAAATCTCTTAACTAGTTTAGCCTCGGCTCGCATATACAATGCAGCTGTGGCTAAAGAGTGGTTTATATACAAAAAAAAAAGATATTTATATAGATGGATTGAATGATGAGATGTTCGAGGATGTTGAGATGACGCTGCTGCAGCGGAGAGCCAACATAAAGAATAACTCAACGAAATATGCATAGAAATTTGAAATTTACATGAAAAATCTGTGCTTTGCTTCGAGTTTTCCCAGTTTCGAGAGCGACGCCATAAAAATTTAAGCGAGGTGGGCGGTGTGGGTGACACCTAAACTTTGCTTAAAGTCCCATCAAAAAAGACACTGAGTAAGAGGAAACTTATTTTGAGACCCACAAAACAATATGTCCTTCCACCTTCTTGCCTCAACTTTACTCTCATTTCCTGTCTGTCAAATATTTAAAACGTCAGCGGAGTCACTCGCTTTTTTGGGTTAGGCTCATGAATGGCCAATTATTATGCTTGGGCCAAAAACAGGGAAACTTTCAAGTTAAGATGAAGTCAAAGGGGAAGGGAGAAAGGGGAAGAGGGAAAGGGGGAGAGAGAAAGATGGGTAGAAAGGAGAAGTTAGAAAGGGGAAGGGAGAGAGTACAACTTAGAAAGAAGACCAGAGCAAGGGACATATCCTGGACAACCCTACGATGTCATGTCACCATGACACCCTAAGAAGTGTGACTTGTGTGTGTGTGTGTGTGTGTGTGTCTGTCTGTCAGTCTTAATTTTCGCATTATGAAATTCATTAAAATGCAAAATTGTCCCAAAGCAAGTACTCATATATATATATAGAATATATATAGACACGAAAATATGGGTGACTTTCCCTTGAAAAAGCAAACCCTGGAGTGGCCATTTTCCCAACACTTAACGGTACTTTAGGGCTCCTCAAAGTTTCCAGTTGTATTAACCTGAAGTCATTGAGTGTGGCAAAAAGCATAGGGTAATTTTTGAAAAGATATTTTGGAAATGGAAAAGGTTAGAGGGTAATTTAAGTTACTAAATATGAGCTTATTTTATTATTTAAATAAGCTTTAAATATAAAAGAAATATATCTAAAATGTAGAATTTATTTAATAACGTTTTAAAGCATAGAAGATTTTTTTTTAAATTTAATTTAATTAATTTTGTAATTTTTTATTATACAAATAAACTTTAAATAAAAAAAATATATTTCCAGTAAAGTATAAATTTTATAAAATTTTATTAATTAAAAAAAAAAAAAAAATTGTATAACATTTTATAAATTATAAAAAAAATGTATAAGCTTATTTAGTTATTTAAATAAACTTTAAATAAATGAAAATAATATATTTCCAGTTTAGCATTAATTTTATAAATTTTATAATTTAAACAAAACTCTTTTCCTTAAAAAAAACCTTTACCCCTTTTTTTACTTTGTTTCTGTACTCCCTTTGTTATTTTTTTTTAACAAAGACTTTTTCAAATAATTCTAAACTCACAAAAAAATAAAAACAACAGTTAAGTACAAATTGAGTTAACTGTGTAAAAAATGCTTCCCTTTATGCATATCAAAACTTTTTGGGACTCAATTATATTAGCCTTGTTTTTCCAAGGGGGGCGGAGGAGGAGGAAAGACAGTAAAAGGAAGGGTGCGTGCCGCTGGACTAATCAACTTGAATGAAAAATTCTTCTGCTTTTGACAAATTTGATAAAGCCAAAGTTAAGGACTCGAAGAACGAGAGGAAAAAAAAGAGAGAAAATGCCAAGAGACTAGAGACTAGAGACTAGAGAGACTAGGAGAGCCAGAAGAGAAATTCCAGCAGCTGCCGAAGGGTGAAAAACAAATTAAGAAGGGAACTTGAAGGGGGGGAAAATAGGGGAAAAGCAAATTTAGAAAAGGAAATACAGAGTGAGAGATAATAGCCAAGCTTAGACTTAAGAGCTTGAGGGCAATAAAATGACAATAAAAACGACAATCGCAATCAATCGCAAAACAATCAAAATGAGTTAGAAAACCTCTACTACTTGCTAGGGAGTGTCAATATCTAAGTGCAAAAATGTAACTATTTATATAAAATATTTTTAAATTGGTGCTTGAGTGTTTTGTTTTTTGTGTGTTTTGCTCAATGTATATGCCCATACCAAAGCGTAACTCCTTGCGTCTACCAGAAGAGGAACCTGATCCCGTTCCCGATCCCTTTTCCGTTCCCATGCCAGCATGCGAAGCTCTTACCCTCAGGATACGTGGCTGGGCCAAGCGTTTCACGCGGTTCTTGGCCTCGTTAGCTATAGATTCGTTATTGTTAATATATTTTTTCGTTTTCGTTTTTTTAAGGGGTTAAAAAGGGTAAAAGGCAAAATGCAAAATGGTTAATGGGATATATGTTTCGCATAAAGAGAGAGCGGGTAGATAGAGGCAATATATATGTATGTCAGGGGGGGTCTTAACATATGAAAATACCCTTTCTTTAGCATATATAAATTATGTTATTAATTTTTAAAAATTTTGTATAGCTTTTTTACCAAGTGACACTGGGCTTAAAAAATAAAATAATAATAAAAATTAATAAATAAAAGTATTTTGCTTACCAAAATAAGTTTCTTGAAGGTTTTTAAATTTTTTCAAGAAGGGAAATTAATTATTTTAATAAAATTCAAGCCATAGCGTAAATATATTTCTGATTTTACCATAATTTTTAGTTTAAATTTTAGCTTTTTACAAAAATTATTTTAAAAAATTTTAAGGAAGTAGAAAATAAATAAATAAAAAGATTTTGCTAACAAAAATTAAATATTTTAAGGTTTTTTTAAATTTTTCATCGAAGAAAATCAATTAATTTAATAATATTTAAGCAATAGCGTACATAAATTAATAATGTTTCTATAATTTTAATTGAAATTTTTGCTTTTAAATAGCTTAAAGGGTTTTTTACTTGATTTAAAGTTAAACCTTTGTTCATTTTGCTTACAAAAATGAACTTCTCTTATTTATTTATTTTTTCAATTCATTTAGTAATTTTCTATAATTTCAATATAAATTTTAGCTCTTAAGTAGCTTAAAAGATTTCCAATTGATTCAAAGTAAAGCCTTTATACATTTAAAACCCCATCAAACCTTCTAATTTAGATTTCCCCCTTATTTTATATCCCTTTTTCCGCCCAGTGTCACCTAGTCATAAATGTAGGAAAATCGGTTCTTGACTTACTTTTTACCCTTAGCCAGGTGCTGGCAGAGTTCTCCCCCGCTTCATTGATGGCCAGGCACTGGAACATGGCAGCGTCATCCAGGATTAGTTTCTTAATTACCAGCGTATTATCCGTGCTGAGTGAGTATCTGCAAACAACAAAAAAAAAGGGTGTTTCGTTTAATACTCGGCATAATTCCTCCCTCCCCCTTGCTTCCCCCACTCACCTTCCACTCTCAATGTGCTGATCCACAGATTCGGCATTCCTAAACCACTTGACCTGGGGCGTGGGCTCACCCACCACATCGCAGGGCAGCTGCACTTGACCCCCAAACTCCCCAAAGGTCTCCGCTCGCATGGGTGTAAAGAACACGGGTGGCTCTAGGATCTGAAGACGTGCCGTGGCCGTAACAGCTGGATAGCCACCGCTGCGCAATCGCACCTGGCAGGTATATTCCCCGGAATGTGAGTTATTCACTTGAAGCAGAACCAAAGTGCGGTTCCAGGGATCGTTGAGAGTATGCCTAACGCCGGCAGTTTCAACGGCCAAACCATCCTTGAGCCAAAGGGTTTCCAATTCATGCAAAGGTCGAGCATTGGCAATGCACCGTAGCTCAGCAACGGCAGTTCCCAGCTTCACTTTGATATCCTGCGGTGGGACAATGATCTCCGGTGCCACCTCAATGTAGGGATCTCCACTGACATTTAAATGCAGAAAGGCACTGCTCTCCTCTTTTCCCAGCTGCGTGTTGATCGCCTTGGCCCTGTAGCCCCTACGGTCATTCTCATCGGCACTCAGGATAATCAATTGATTGGCCTGGGTGAAGGCATATTTGATGTCATAGTTCAAGGGACCATCTTCCGATTGCCACATAACCGAGGGCACAGGAACCGAGTCTATGGCAGGCATATCAAAAATGGCAGGATGGCCACTGGTCACGGTAAGGCGACCCTCGGTGGTGTTTTCAAAGATGCCCATGTCTGTGGGGGAAAGGGAATATTATTAGAAAATATTTGTATTATTAAATACATTTTTTTTTACATTTTTCTTGTAACTTTTATTATTTCTAAAGTTTTTTCTTTTAATTTCCCTGGTTTCCTTTTAATTTTTATATATATTTTTTATAGAGTTTTCTATCGTTTTCCTGTGGTGTCATTCGCTAATTGAATTGAAAGGCAAACGCCGTGCTGGGCCTGCGGGCAAGTCAATTTAACCTCGCTCATCTCTGACCCCCATTCCCATTACCATCCCTCTTACACCCCTCTTTAGCCCCCCCTGTAAGTACGCAGCTACCCAGCTGAGCTTTAAAGGTTATTAGTTCAGTTTAGGCACTCGCTCTCGGTCCTACAATTAATTAAGTGCTCAAGACGATGCCGCTGCTTCAAGTCAACCCGTCGACGAGTCAGTCAGTGCGTCGTCACGCCCATCTTTCACCTCCTCTGGAGGCAAGGGGGGTGGTGTTAGAGAGAGAGAGAGATCCCCACCGAAAAGAAGGTCACCATGAATGGCTGGATAGATGGATGGATGGATGGGATGGATGGAAGGCTAGAGGAGGTGGGTGGTTGGGTACCATGTCGAGGGCCCCCTCGATTTATTAGGTTCAAGTAGTTACGGGAGGGGCTTAGGGGGTTAATTCAGAGTGAGCGAGCAAGCGAGCCAGCTCAAGTGTCACTCACACTTACTTGTCTAATTGTTCGTTACATCCACACCTAAGACCCGGTGACCCTTAACCCCCACACGCGACGCCACACTACTTAACCTGCTCCGCCTTCTCCGTTACACGCTCTCGTTGTAATTAAGTTCGCATTAAAGAAAAATTAGCAGCTAAACATTGAGTTGGCGTGGAAGGAGGTGTGGGTCCTTGGCTGGCTTGATTAGTACTCTCCACCTAGAAAGCCCAACTAAAAACCTAGAAATCCCTCACGCTTTTCGACCCCATTTGGGACAATGTTTGAATTTTTAAAAACTAAAACTTCAAGAGGAAATACCCTATAACTTATTGGCTATAAACTTTATATAATTGGCCAACTAATAAGGTTGCCCAAGACCCCTAGTAAGCTTCAATAAGCCATCAATGACTTGCTGCCAGGATTCTCTATTTAATTGGTAACTCGAGCTGATGTCCTGGGCTTATCCCCAGGAGAGTCTCGAATTTCCAGCATAGCCTCTCTCTCTCTCTCTCTGGTTGCTATTTACCCAATCTTAACTAACTTTTCCCCGCTTTTATATATGTGTACTTACAGGCCACAACAACGTCGCTCTTCTCACTGAATATGGATCCGGCATCGTTCTTGGCAATGCATTGATAGCTACCCGCATCCTCGCGCCGGGTGCTGTGGAAGCGATAGAACTGGCTGGACGAGAAGTCGCCCACGGGGACGCCATCCTTTAACCATCGATATGTGGGCTGCGGGTATCCTGTAAATATATGGAGAAAGAGAAAAAGAGAGTGAGTGAGTGAGTAAGGAGTACTGGGGGAGAAATTCTTTAATAAATATCCCGTGGAGAGTGAAAAATGGAGAGGAGCTAAGGGTATCTCGTACATATCATTAAAAACATGGCTTTATTTGATTTCCACTGACAAAGGAACCAGAAATGGCCAGTGACGTGGCATAAAGGTTAAGTCTAAGGGTTGTATAATTTTAGGGAGATGAAACGATTGATATTATTCTTTGATATTAAATAAAATAATAATAAATTACAATAATAAAGCATAATAATAAATCACAAAAATAAAATTAAATGGAAAATATCTTGAACTTTGGTATATGGAAATTTCAAGAATTAAACTTTAAATTTAAATATCAATTATTATCGATAATATATCAGAATATTATTATTTATCGAAAATATCGTAAACTTTGGTATAAAATGTTTAAAATTATTGAAAAATTTCGCACTCAACAGATAAATATCGATATTATCGTTAAGATATTAGAAAATTCATATTCTGACGTATTATCGATATTTTTATATCGATATCGATACAGTATCGATATACAGATATTTTCTGATATTGCTAGTAAGCTTTTTAAATCTTGTAAATTTTTTTTGAATATTTTTTTTATGATTTTTATATATATAATTTACCTTTTTTCTTTAATATTAGTTTACTATATCCTCAATCCCTTTAACAAATTATAATTTTCCACCCTTGTTAATACTTTAATCTTAAATTATTAATATTTTTAATACATTTCATTCTATTTTAAGCATTTAAAATGGGAGCCCTTCTGATCTGTTGTAAATGAAAATCGGAGCAAATCGATTTAATCGATTAATCCCATTTAAATATTCAGTACATAAGGGCTTAACTGGCCAATTTTTTGTTTCGTAATCCATCAATTATAAGTTGTCCCCCCTCCTCTACTGTTTAATCCCCGCCACTGAAAACGACCGCACAAAGCGATTAAATCGCATGCTGGCCCCGGCCAAGTTTCTACCTCCTGCTCCATCTCCTTCTCGTCATAAAGGGAAGCGTCGCCGGCAGGGCACAAAGGACACATTCTCCTGGCCACAGTTGGCTTCATTTGTTTGAGCTTCCCGAGAAAAGTTACAGAGAAAGGATATGGGATATGGCAAGACCTCTCTCTCTCTCGGCAGGAGCCAAAGTGGTAGCTCTCCACAGCTCATTCCGATTTCATTGCAGTCAGCCAGTGGAGCCAGTGAGCCAGCCAGTCGACCAGGCATTTAAATTAAAGTTGATTTATATGGGCTTGGGAAACTCCCCTGGCGGAATGGAATTGCAATTGGAATGGCTAAACAAAAATTACATGTGACCTGAGGGAGGAGAGAGAGAGGGAACAGCAGGGCGGTGGAACCGTTGGACTAAATGAAAGTCTGAATAAAATATGCCGTTCGCCTAACTGGCCCAGGATGCAACAGGATTGAGTGCACATCACAGGACGGCGGACGAGACGCAGACGGATGGCCGGAGGCCCAAAATCCGGTCATCAAGGCAGGCCCCCAGTCTCCCCCAAAAACCCAAAACCCAACCCAAAAACCCAACGGCTGTCCCATCAACGCTTTTGCAAAGAGCTCAAGGAGGGTCTGGAGAAGCAGGTTGATAAGAAGGATGGGCTGAAGGTGTTGGCTTGGGTGTAGCCTGCCAATACCCTGTACTCTTTCTAGAAATAATAATGCCAGACGGGGCACTTAATTGAAATCCTTTTCCAGGAACTAAACTTGTTTCTGGCCTTGAAACTTGGCCTTTGGGTTCAATTTTCTTCTAAATTTCATGCTTTCTAGGGTAGGCTTACTTTTTCAACAAATGTTCAAGGAAATTTTGGTTTACTTAACATAAAAATAAGCTAAGAATGTCTAGGATATATTCGAAGTTCCATTAACACACTTTCTACAAAGCATATCCTTTGTTTTAGTACAATTATAACTCAAACAACAGATTCTCTGTTAAAAGAAACTCCCCCCCTAAGGCACACTTACAGGGTAGCATCTAGGACCAAACGTGGCCAATGGCAATGCAATTCAGTTCATTCAGTTTGCAGACAAAATCGAATTGAGCCGAGTTAGTAGCGAAACTGGAAACTACCAGTCGAGAATAGGAATCAAATGGAATCAACTTGAGAATAGCTGGGAGAAGGCGGCCAGCAGCAGCAGCCAAAAGTTTCTCAAGTGTTGGCCAAAAAAAAAAAGAAAAAGAAAAAGAGAAAAAAGAAAATATCCAAGGATAAGAAAGCACACACAAGGATGGGCAAAAAAAGAAAAGGAAAAAAGGACCAAAAGGCAAAAGTCTATTTGAGCATTTTGGGCAATGACGCTGCTATAAAATTACAATTTGGGGAATTGTAAGGCAAATACACATGGACACAAGCACACACACATGGCACAAGGACACCAGCAAGCTCACACATCAGAGTGCCGTTAGTCAACAGCAAAGGAGGAGAGCAACAAAAAAAATAAAAGAAAGAAAGTAAGCGAAGAAACAAACATTCTCCAGCGAAATGTGTCAGCGCTAAATCGAAGCGAAAGCCCAATAAGCAGAGAAAAAGATGGAGAAAAGAGGGTGAAAAGGAAAGAAGATGAGAGAGAAGAGCTGAGATAAAGGGGGAAAGCCAAAGATAGTCCCAGACGGACCCTAAGTCGAGAAAGACACTGCCAAAAAGATCAAAGATCGCTCAAATCAAAGAACTTAGTTTGTATTATTATTTTGATAGTTTTTTTTTAAATGTAAAATGAACTTAATATTATTATTATTATTAATATTTTTTACAATTCCCAAGTCATTTCTTAATGTAAATATATTTTCAAGCATAAAAAACACAAGGATTTTATACAGAGAATACAAATATTCAAGGAAGAGCCATCCCACGTTTACTCTACTCTTACTAGCAATTTGCTGCTAAAAGCCGTTGGGAATTTTAATGCATATATATATATATATATATATATATATATATATATATATATATATATATTTTTTTTTTTTTTGATGTATAAATATTTTTTATACTATTTTCGGAAAACTTATAAAAGAAAAATATTTAAAAAATATAAAAAATATAAAAAAATTATAAAAAATATCTTAATTTTTGATTTCCCATTTAATCTCTTTTTATAACCTTTTTCTCTCAGTGCTTGCCCACATGTGCAAGTGCCACTAAGCGAGCGTATGTGCTAGTGTGTGTATTTGTGTATGTAATGAGTTTTTAATAACTAAACTGACAAAAATCCTTTAAGACCAAGCCATACAAAGTCACTCCTGTCACTCCAAGCGTAAGGAAAAAAAAGAAGAATTTAAGGCCAAGCCCAAAAATAAGAAAAATAAGACGAGGGGAGAATGCAGAGAAAAAAGACCCAAAGGGAAGCCAAGGAAAGCACAAATTTACATTCTCTCTTGGGAAGAAAGTCAATCAGATAGTAAAAAGAGACTTTTTTTTTTTTTTTGGTAAACCGAAATCCCAAATGGAAACGCAGTCACATATAACATTTCATTAAAAAAGAAACAAATTTTCTGGGCTAGCAATTATTTCTTGTATTTAGATTTAAATTTTAAGAAAATTTAAATTTTGTAAAAATATTTCTAGAGGTTTTAAGTATATTTTTTAGGCTTGTTTAATTACCTTTAAAAAATTCCAACAAAAAACAACACTTTATTTAAGTTGATTGAAATATCAAACTAAATAAAATGTCCAAAATTGCCTTACCAACTCTTGCTTCTTTGAGAGCTTCTTCAATTTATAATCTTTGGAAAATTCCTAACTTCTGGAGCCCGTAAAAGTATGCTAAAGTCACAACCCCAAGTCATTGCCATATTTCCGCTGCGTTTTCTTTGGCGGAAAAAGCCACTCAATCAGCCAACCAGCTAGTCAGTCAATCAGTTAGTCAATCAATCAATCAGCCAGTCAGTGTCTAAGCCAAACTGCATATAAATAAATTCAATAAACAGGCAAGCGCAATGCAACAAATTGCATTTGTATACACAACTCTGCCTCTCTCTTTCTCCCACTCCTCACTCTCTCTCTCTCTCTCTCTCTCACTCTGTGTAAAGTCAAGGGGAAATCCCCGCATACGGAAATTGTTTGATTTGTGGCCAGTGCAAAGCCCATCAAAAGCTACGCGAAATCAATTGCATTTAGAAGCTGTCGGATGTAGGCAGGATATATATACAAATACTATATATATATAAATATATAGTGTAGGTAAAGTCTGGCAGCGAATTCATAAGTCCCTCGATGTGCCCTCGAATGTTTGTCAAGCCAAACTCGCTGTACTCTCTTTACATTTGGGGGAAAGTTGAAAAGTCCATTTGCCAATCCGTCAACTTGGACACAACTCTCGACCCAAAAGATATCCGATCAGCTCATCCTGCTCCTGCCTGGGCCTAAAATCCACAAAAAAAAAAAAAAAAGCTCAGGCAAACACACACACACACAGTGCGTATCCTTTGTCCCGTCAGTTAGTCAGTCAGTCAGTCAGTCAGTTTTCCGTTGGATTTCATTCGAGTTCAGAGGTCGCTCTAAAATCCGGACAAAGGAAACGAGCCAAAGCCACGTTTGGTGACCCGAAAATTGGCTCTCTTTAACTCTTTAACTCTCTCGAACTGGAAAACTGATTTTTAAAGTCTTTAAAAATTGTAGTTAAATGTGGTTTTTAAGTGAGAGCCTGGAGATATAAGTATATATTCAATAAGTGTTATTATATAGGCTTGATTTATTGAGGAAAATATAGAAAAGTGTTTATATAAATATTATTTATTACAATAGTTGATATTAATCGTTTTATTATTCATATTTATATTGTTTATTAACTAATATTAGTGTTATTAATATTTATATTATTTATTTTGTTTTTATTTATTTATTTATTTTATTATATTATCATT